GGCTAATATCGTTCATTAGTATGATCATGTAGCCAGCTTCTAAATTATGTCCAGTCTCTCTCAGTAGAGTCCACCATTCGCCAACTCCCCTGGGCCCCAGTAGGTGAGAGATGTGGGGCCAGAGGGCTCTCCATGTCAAGTTCAGAGGGAAAAACTCTGCTTGTCCATTACCCCCCAAGCAGCAATGAAGTGACCTCCCCCCTCCTTCATCCTCACCAACCTGCACTCCAGCTGACTGGCTTCTTTGGGGAATTGGCAAGGTAGGGGTGGGTGGGGACCAGGGAGGAGTGAGGCACCTCATGCTAAACAGGTCTCCCCAACCTACCTTCCGCAAGCCCAGCACAATCTCAGCCCCAGAGCCAGCCTGGGAATCTCACCACCTCTCCGGCCCCGCCCTCCACTTTCCTGAAGAGTAGCCCCAGCCCCTCTGCCTCTTTCAGATTTGCATTGCCCAGGCCTGACTTTACTGGGGAAACTGCTTCGGGTGTGCTGAAGGTGTGGCCGGTATGGCCGAGGTGGCGCTGAGCGCAGGCCCACGGGGCAGGGCTATCCCCTGGGGCCTAAGAGCTTTGCACAAGGTGGAAACATCTTTCTCCTGAGTCTTCACTTGAGAGCAATTGAAATTCCTGTAGCTGTTGGGGTGGGGGCTGAGAACCCAGATGAGCAGGCAGGCTCCGGCTGGGGAGGGAGGGCGGGGCTGGGTGCCCAGACCTGGTTTCCATTAATCACAAGCCCAGGGCGAATGGGCCTCAGTGTGGGGTTCTCAAGGCAGCCTGGTTGGGGGGGGGACATTGTCCAAGGAAACCATGGGGACTCGGGGGGGTCCCCCAGACTTCTGGGAGAAACAGCCACTTGAGCCAGGTCCCGAGGGGTGGGGAAAAGTTGGGTAGGCAGAGAGGGAACGAGGGCATTCTAGTGGTAACAAAGAGCGTTGTGGAAGTGAGAGAACGTGGGACATTTGAGGGTCAATAAACAACTAGTTCCATCTGTCCGCATTGTAAGATTGCAGACAGACTAAGGTGGGCGTGGAGGCTTCCTTGGATCAGCCCTGCCTCCCCAACAGCAGCTGGACCAGGCCTACTGCTGACATTTAGGCCAAGCCTCTGTCCACCCCAGGGTTCACTCTCTCGGCAGGGTTGAGGGGTAATGCACCGGCAAAGCAAAGACAGGTCCTTCCTAAGCCCCCCTCGACACCGTGGACAGGGCCCGGACTGTATCACCCACCAGAAGGCAGAGGGTGCCTCACTGTGCTCTCCACCTCTGGGCAAAGCCCCCTCCCGTTCTGGACAAGGCATCTCTCCTCCTGTCACATCCTGGGGCTCCCTTTGGGGCAGGCTGACGGGCACAGAGCAGAGAGGCTGCCGTGAGGGGCTGCAGCCTCCCTGGGTGGGCAGGGCTTGGCAGGAGCAGAGAGAGATGGGTGGTTGGCCAAAGACAATGTGTGTCAAGTAGCCAGCACAGAGCCTGGCACGTAGGACAGGGCGAGAAGCCCATGAGGGGATGTTACAGAGAAGGGGTGAGTTTATCCCGAGAGGCAGCATTTTCCTCCAGTTCCTGCTCAATCTCCCACCACATAGAGCCAACAGAGCGGGCTGGACTTTTCAGCCCGGAAGGATGAGTGCCCACAGCCATCCTGTGGAGACATGGATCCACCCTGGTCCACCCTGCACTTGTGGCCAGCCCCCACCCCCAACTCGGGCCAGTGAAGACCCTTCCCCCCCTCCCTGGGGAGCCCTGTCCTTGAGCCCAGCACAGAGGCAGCCCTGGACTCCAGGGTGGGTGCCGCCCCCACCCTTTCCAGAAACCAGGCTGCAACATCAGGGGCGGATCCACCTGGGAGCAAGCTCGGCCATGTCCATCTAGCAGGGGCACAGACCTGGGGGGGCCAGTCAGCAGCAGCAGGCTCTTATTGTCCAAGGACCGCAGCGATCTGCTCAGGGAGAAGGCCTGACCCTGGAACCCAGAGGGCGGACGGCCTTGCAGGGGCTCCATGAAACCCCACAGAAAGGAGGAGCCAGCTAACACCCAGCATTGGCAACTCGGCTTCCCCACACCCTGAGCCCTTGAAAAGGGGCTGGCAACAAGTTATGACCAAAATAGCAACATCACCAGCTGACAGTTACTACCCCCTTAACTCGCACCAGGCACTGCACTAGTTACTACCCGTAATCTCAGTCAACCTTCCTAACAATCTCCGCTTTTCAATAGAAGGAAACTCAGGCATGGAGAAGGGAAGTAACTGGCCCAAAGTCGCAGAGCCGGGAAGCGTCAGGGCCAGAATTTGAAGGGAGAAAATGAGGATCTAGATTCAGAGCATGGAGTCGCCGGCTGGAAGGGCTGGATTTCAAGGCAAGTGGCCTCGAGGAGTCCACCATCCTCTCCTAGCTCTTCCTCCTCAAAGTGGGTTTATCATGTGAATGCCTGACACAGCAGAGCTTGTTTGGACAGAAAATCTTGGTGACAGGAGGATGGGGAGGGCAGGGGGTCCCCATCTCTCTGACCGAGGGCCGAGCAAAACTTAGAGGTCGCTTTCCCTGACATAAGGGTGTACACAGGGTGCGAGAGATCTGTGAGGTGAGAGGTGTGCCCAAAGCAGGGGGAGATGGGCCCCTCGTGGAAAGCCTAGGGGGTATGCAGGAGACGGCGGGTGTAGGGGGCATCAGGGTGTCTAGGGTCACAAGCCTCACCCAGCTCCTGAGTGGTCAGCAGGCCCAGGCCAGCTCCCGGTGTACTCTCGTGAGCCCATCACAGGGTGCTTCTGTGCGTGCATCCATGGTCCCCCCATTCCCGAGGCATGTCATGGGGAAAGCACGGATCGACAGGGCCAGAGCCCACGCCTCTGCCTCAGGCTGGTGACCAGGTACACCCCCTGCACCCTGGTACTCGCTTGCCCTCTCCTTGATGAATAGGACAGGACGGGCCCCCCTGCCCAGATTCCTCTAACGCTCCAGGCCCCGTGCACACCAGGTATTTGCAGGGGTCCCATTTAGAGGCGGCACTCTGGGTCAACCTCCCGTGTTCCTGTTAAACAGGTAATGGATGGGGCCCTGGACCGGGTGCCACAGACTCAGAGCATGGTGAGCCCTGCATGGGGACAGGATGTAGGGCACTCACAGGGTCTTCCCTACACACCAGGTGACTTCAGGACAAAAGAGGTAAGTGGAAGATGGCCCCAGGGAGACTCAGAGTAAGACAGCAAGGCTGCCTCTGTGTTCCCCTCAGCACACGGTCTTTAAAGGAGAGACTACACCTGCTAGGGCAGAGGGATGATCACGAGGAGGCCGCTGGGCGAGGGGGTGCAGGACGCAGGACCCAGGCCTGCACCATCCTTCCCTCTTGCTGCTCAAGGAGAGGCTGACACATAGGAGGTAGAGCCCCGTAGGGATTCGGCAGTTGGAAAATTCTAGCATTTCAGTTCTAGATTCAATGCTCCTCTCTCTGGCAGCAGGGAGGGCAGGGCTGCCATACATCTCCCCAGAGACAAAGGTGGGAACCCTCTGCGGGCCTGAGGCCCTGCCTCCTGCCCTTTGGGCACTTACAGAAGGCCTTCTTGCTCCCCGCCAGAAGACCTTGGATCCTGTGACAACTGGGGCTCTTCAAACACACTAAGCCAGCTCTTGCTTCTAGGGCTTTGTAGATGCTGTTCCCACTTCCCTTCCCTGCCCCCTGTCCATGACTTTCTTTTTCTCATTCCCTGAGACTCAATGTAGAAACCCTCTCCCGCAGAAAGCCCTCCTGTTCACCAATGCCAGGGGGGGTGGCTCATCTGTGCCTCCCCAGCACCCACTGCCCTGCCTGCTGTGACGCCAAGCTGGAATCTTCTGTTTGCTGCCTCTTCTCCCGCTGGGCTGTGAGCTACACAAGGACAGGTACATGCTGTTTAAGTCACAGCATCACCTGTGCCCGACACAGTGCCTGGCACATAATTGGTGCACAGGAGACATTTATTGGATGGATGGATGGATGGATGGATGGATGGATGGATGAGTGAATGAATAAGAAATGAGGCCAAGACCCCAAGCTAAGCTCCTCCTCGTTGCCCAGGAACCGTATCCTTTTCATCTGTCTTGGCACACAGCACAGGAGAAGTGGGTCTAGATTGCTTCTTGAGAGTCCAAGTGGTGATGCTGTGAGCACATAGGAAACACAGTGTAGTATGGGAGGTGTCACTGTGGTGGCAGTTACAGGAGCGCCCAGGGCGCTCAGAGCAAGGACTAATGAATCACTCTGCCTGGAAGAGTATGGGGAGCCTTCTCAGGGACAGTGGGGCTGGGCTTCCTTAGGTGGATGACAAGTGGAGAATTGGCGGAAGGCCTTCCGGGCAGAGGGGGCAGAGGGAGCAGCCAGAGCAGAGGCGTAGGGGTGCCCCATGCAAGGGGTTCCCCCAGGGAGCTGTTGAGTTAGGTGCTTTCCCATCCCGTCCCTTCCAGCTGGGCTCAATGCCGCCCGCCATGCTGTCTTCTTCAGCTCAGGGAGCCTGTGGTCCCTGGATTGCACTCCAGCCCTAGAGGACATGGAGGTGGCGGGAAGGCACCCAGACCAGCCCATGCCTCTCAGCAGCTCATCTCTGCCTGAAAAGCTACCTCATGAAACCAGCCCTCTTTCCTTCCTCAAGGGCTCCCTGCCCCTCAGACAGACGCCTGCTTCCTCGTCCCCAGCCAGGGAGAGAAAGAAAACAGGCCCATCCAAAGAGGCCTCCATTGTTCCCAAGAAGTGACTCACACGGAGACGCTTGTCCGCGCTCAGTGCTTTCCCCCACGGTGCCCGCGGTGACTCAGAGCGGCTCACACCACAAGCCCTCCTGCTGCCTGCGAGGCCCCGGCCCTGAGAAAGCCTTGTGTCCCCGGGGCCAGCCGCCCTCTCTCCTCTGGAAGCAGGTGGGAGGCAGCCTCCTTCGGCTTGGCAGTTACGAGGGGCCGTGTCCCCGAGGGTCTCCCTGTGAGACAGGCTCTCGCCTCAGTTTCCCTCCCTCTGAAAGGGAGCTGACAGAAAAGCCGTGCGATTGTGTTGGCTTTTATTATTGGCATGCGTGGCCATGTGGGGGTGCCGGCGCGAACGGCAGTGCCCCACTGGGCCAGCCCCTGGTTTCCAGACGAGAGTCGGCCTCCAGTGCCCAGGAGGCCCGGGGCTGGGGACAAGCTGGGCCGGACACGGCGAGGGTCTTTGGTGAGGACGCTGCTGCCCCTATTTCCAGCGCCCGGTGACTTTGGCCTTCCCGCGGGTCTTGGAGCTGCAGGAGAAGCGGGGTCTAGTCAGCGGGGGGACACGGGGCCCAGTCAGCAAGCAGGGGGACGGGGGCAGGGCAGCAGGTCTCCACAGGGCGGAGGTGGAGGTGAGCGATGCTGAGGGTTGAGAGGGGCAGCAGCCTCGGCCTGTTCAAATCCCCCCACTGAGCAGTGACCAAGGGAGAGCCCGAGGAGGAAGCAGCCTGCACCCCGAAGGGGAGGAGGGAGCGGTGGGAGCCGGAGCCCCCACAGGAGGTGTGGGATGGCTGGGACACCGGAAGGAAGAGGCAGGGCCCGGTAAAGAAAGGAAGGACCTAGAAACTTACACTTTCTGGTTATCGTTGATCCTGTTTCGGAGAACATTGATCTGTAAGGGAGAAAGATGGAGGAAACGTTGGAGCTCATTTGGCTCAGGTGCCAGGTGGTTGGGGGCGAGGGAGAAGCCAGCTCAGCACAGGAGTAGAGGGTGGGGGGAGGGAGGAGGCAGAGCGGCGACACTGTGAGAGTTAGAACAGGCTGACGTCTGGAGGGGCCCACGTCCCACAAGCAGAAGCCAATGAGAGGCTCCAGGTCGCCGCACTGGCCTCTCGCTGTGGGTCCCAGAGGCGCGGAGGGCTCAGGGCAAGAGGCACAAGGAGGCCTTCTGAGAATCGGGTGCAAGGCTGGGCCTCAGGAAGCCCTCTGAGCAGCCCCAGCCCAGCCTGAGACGCCCCATCAGACACTCCCGCCCAGCTGTTCATGAGGTACAGCACCCCCACGTGCCAGGCCTGCAGTTTACCACCCGGTATTTTGGCCACATCTGAGCCCGACGGGCCAGGGCCAGGGTTAAACGTGGAACCGGAGGAAATGTGGAAGGTCAGGTCTAGAGGGGCTGCAACAGTCGCTAATACCGAGTGAGCACTCAGTGGCGCCCCCCCACTTCCTGTTCTGTTAGGAGCACCTTCCCGAGTATTAACCCACAGGATGGCTGTGAGGCGTAACTCAACACATGGAAAGCGCTCAGAACAATTCTTGGAACACTTCACTACTGTTGTTATTACTGTGATTATCTCCACAACCCTCACAATAACTCCATGAAATAGGGCGACTGTTATCCTGCTCACATAGATGAGAAATGGAAAGAAGGAAGGGTAAGTAACTTGCCCAAGGTCACACAGCTAGTAAGGGGCAGAGCTAGAAGTATGACGCAGGCAGCGTGGCTCCAATGTCCGTGCTCAGTGTCACCACACAAAATTGCCTCTCTCAGCACTGGGGGTGTGAGGGGACCCTATAGCCATACGGGCCTGAGCTGTGCTCACAGGAGGGGCCCATGCACAGAAATGCAGCAAAGCGACCCAGAAAGGGAAGCTGAACTCCCCAAGGCAGAGAAGCCGCGCCGGGGAAGTGTGCGGCCCGGCGCTCACTGAGCCGGTTCTTGCCTGCTGTATGTACACCTGGGACCCCTCAAGGCTGTGAGTTGGAGGCTCAGTCAGCTGTGCCCACACCAGGGCCTCAGGGGTACGTGGGGGGGAGATAAAGCAGCTGCATCTCTGGTGAGGGTTGCATCCCTCTCTCCCCCCGGAGGCCTAGCTTTGTGCATCCTGGTCCCCCCACCTGACCCAAGGCATCCCAGCTGCTGCCTCAAGGCCTTCAGGGGCAGAAGAGGGGGAGACCCCAGGGCTGGAACCCCAGAAACGTGTCTTGGTGGACACTGAGCATGGACAGGGACAAGACACCCAGGCAGGTGTGTGAGCTAGAATGGGTAAGAGGTGACAGGGATAAGGGAAAGGGGCCTGACAGACAGCAGCCATGTGGGACCCGATCAAAACAGGAGTGTGGGCTGGGGGAGGGGCAGTGAGCAGGCTCACTTCATATTTCTGCTGCTTGAACTTCTCCTGCAGGTCGAACTTCTCTGCCTCCAGGTTATAGATGCTCTGCCACAGTTCCTTGGCCTTCTCCCTGGGGGGGCCAGAGTGGGCATGGAGAGAGGACTAGGGAACACCAAGGAAGGGCCCTCATCTGACCCAGCCCCCAGGGACACCAGCCCTCCTTCCCACCTCTAGGCCGGCTAAGGGGCCCCCCAGCCCACCTGGCTCGGCAAGAGGCACAGACGGCAGTGCCTTGTGCTTAGGATTGGATGGGCGGGGGGTGGGTAGAGCATAGTTCAATCCCGCTTCCCACCACCTTAGAGCAGTGGGTAAGGAGCAGCTCAGAGGGGTGCCAGGGCACAAAAACAGTCCTTGGGAAAAATATGTGAGACGACAGCGCCACCTGGTGGTGCATGATAAGAGTTGCCCTATGCCGCAACTTTCCCCGCAGCCGGAGGAACACCACCAGCCCCCACCTCAGCTGATCTTCATTCAGGTGGTCGATGGCCAGCACCTTCCGCCTCTCGGCCAGAATCTTCTTCTTCTTTTCCCGCTCCGTCTGCCTCTTTCCACTTTTCCGCTCCGTCTGGAGAGAGTGATGAGCAGAGGGCATTAACTAGGGAACACCCCATTTCCCCTAACCCTCCCAAAACCCAATGGGGAATAAGACAAAGCCTACTGAAGGCCCAGGTTCTTACCCTCTTCTTCCTGAAACACCCACACTACCACCTGCCTGGATTTCCCCTGAGAAACTGAGGCAGAGGCAAGGAGGGCCACTTCCGTCCATTATTCCTTTCCCTCTCCAGATTCTTCCATCTCTCTCCTGGCTCCCGCCTCCCGCCTAACCCTTCTCCACACTCAGCAGCCCCCCCTCCCAGGGAGCCCCCAAAAATGATGAGGAGGATGAGGGTTAGAGATTTGGTACCCACCTCGGCCTGCAAAGCCAGGACACCATGAGAGAAAGACCCAGAGAGAAAGACCGAGACCGGGACAGAGATACAGAGAGAGGGCAGGGCGCAGCAAAGACAGAGAGACACAAGAAGGGAGAAGGAGAAGGTGATTCAGACGCTCATTGCAGGCAACCTTGTTCACTAGGACTATTCTGAGAGCAGGGCCATGCCATAAGTCTGGCTGGTATTGGTCACTGTGGGGGCACAGGCAGGCAGGCCGGGCTAGCTCTGAGCCAGGGACTTTGGAAATGTAAGAAAATGTTCTGATCCCTCCACTGCACAGAGAAGATCAATTTTATATTTCCTCTTCTCCCTTGAAAATGGAGTATCAAGCAGGAGCGGGACACAAAAATTAGGAAATCGAGTAGGTTTGCAGGAATAACCCATCTCCCATCTGTGGAGCACACAGATGCTCACCACCTTAGCCCATCTGATCTCAAAGTGGGCAAGGCAGACTATTAAACCCATTTTACAGATGAAGAACTGAGGCTCTGAGGTTGCCTGAGGCCACACAACTGTAAGCGGCAGGTCTGAGTCTCCAACTGGAGCTCTGATTCTGGGCCCAAGGCTCTTCCAAGCACACCATCCACCTTACGGGTGGGGGCGGGGCACTGCTGACACTCGGGGCCTCTGCCTGCAGCGCCCCCTCCAGCAAGCCTTTTCTTGGGAAAGTCACAGCAGGCAGAGCTCCGGCTCAGGGGGTGGGCAGGAGGAGGCCTCGGTCTCTCACTTGCAGGTAGGAATTTCTTCCTGGGATCCACCTTCAAGTCCGTGGGGACCCTCCTCCTCCCCATACACCAGGACTCCCTGAAGACCACTGCTGCAGCCCAACCTACCTTCTGGATGTAACCCCCAAAGTGCATCATGTTGGACAAAGCCTTCTTCTTCCGGGCCTCATCCTCAGCCTTCCTCCTGTTCTCCTCCTCCTCCCGTCGGGCTCTCTCTTCCTGATTTTCAGCAGGAAGAGAGAAAATCAGGGGTGAGGGTATGAACCCCTGAGCCTGGGCTGAAGTGTGGGGTCTTTATGGGTCGGGAGAGTGGAGGGCTCTCTCCACCAGGCAAGAAGCTTCCTGAGAGCCCCCCAGCACAGGGCCCCGCACACAGGAGCTGTAAAGACTTTTCTTTAGAAATGAGTGAAGAATGATCTCATCATCCCCTCAGGCAGGGCGCACCCCCACACCCCCGGCCCCCAGGAGCCCTGCTGTTCTGGAAGGACCTCCAGCAGCAGCCCAAGAAAGGAGCCAAGGGACCTCCTTTTCTCAGGGAGCCTGCAGCAAGGGAAGGGACGCAGCCGGAGGGGACTTAGTTGTCTTATAAAGCAAGTTTGTACCTTTCGGCCCCTTTCATCCCTGTCACCCACCTCCCACCCCCTGCCCCTGGCAACCACCAATCTCTTCTCTGCATCTATGAGCTTGGTTTTCTGGTTTTGGTTTGGTTTTGTCGTGTTTTAGATTCCACGTGTAGGCGAAACTAGACAGGATTTGTCTTTCTCTGTCTGAACTATTTCACTTAGCATAATGCTCTCAGGCCCACCCATGTTTTCACAAACGGCAAGATTCCCTTCTCTTCATGGCTAATATTCCAGTGTGTGTGTGTTTGTGTGTGTGTGCATGTGCGCGCATGCATGCCTGTGTGTTCATGCACATGTGTGCGTGAGCAAGCACACACACATATTCTTTATCCCTTCCTCCGTCGATGGACAAGTGTCACTTCCACGTCGTAGCTACTGTAAATAATGGCACAGTGAATGGAGTGCAGATATCTTTTTGCATTAGTGTGTGCATCTCCTTCGGGTAAATACCCGGAAGTGCAATTGCTGGATGGAGAGTCTTACAAAATATTAAGTTCATGAAAACCCAGACATTCCTGTCTTGCTTACTGCTTATTATCAGATTCCAAACAGCTCCCAGCAGTCACCAGGGGCTTGCTGGCTGAATCAATGTGTATGAATAAGGAGGGGTGGGAGGTGGGGGAGAAGACTTGGAAGGAACTGGGGGCAGGCTGCGGGGGTGGGAGTAGTTCTGTGGGCCTTGGACTAGGGGTCACTCACTGCCAGGCGAGTCTGACGTTCCTTCTCTCGCTCATTCCGGATGCGCTGCTGCTCGGCCCGCTCAGCCCGCCGCTTCTCCTATGGGGAAAGGGGCAAAGCCTGTCCAGTGTGTGCAGAGGGAGGAGGTGTCCCCAAGAGGTGCAGGGTCCAACCAGGGAAAGAGGTGGCAAGAGAACCCACAGGGATTTTCCCCTCGGGGGGCTCAGGGCAGTGAATGCCCTTCCTCCAAGGGCTTCTGCTCTCAGCCGGCTCCCTGGACACAGAGACAGCGCCTAGACAGGTGCACCAGCTCCGAAGACTGCCCTGGCTGAACAAAGATAGCCCATACCAGGCATGTGCGGATGACCCATACTGAGCATTACTCATCGTGGGGCTGTCCTCAACGATTTGAAAAACGTCAGGTGGACTTCTCCCATGAGAGCTGCGCCCCTGGACCCGCCCCGGCCCCGCCCCTGCAGCTGCTCTCAGTTTGGACAGACGGCCAGACCCTCAGCTGCAGGCCAGGGCGGCACAGGGGTGCTGGTATCACAAACACAGCAGCGAGTTTGGTGGAGAGAAAAACAAAGGAATCAAACTAACCTCCCCTGGTTATGACTTGGAGCTGTGAACGGGGCCACACTCGTCTTCCCTGCATCAGTGAGGGGAGCTGCCCGATGGGAGGGAGTGGGGGGCAGAGGTGGGACAACAAGTATGTGACTCGTCGCCCCCCAGCCAGGGCCTGGGGCACCCAGAGACAATCAGCAGCTCTGGTTGCCAAGAGCTGTCCGGACTGGCGAGGATGGAGGGCAGGGACCCAACAAACCACAGTGCGGGGCCTCAAGAGTGGCTCCGGCTGCTGGGTTCCTGATGGAGAGCCACCTGCTGCAGGGTAAGGGCCCCTCCCCCGCACCAAGGCTGCCCAGAGGAGGTGGGGCCTAACAAAGAAGGTGGAGGACAGAGTGGGACCTCTGGGGAGACTTGACACCCACAATCCTGTCTTTGAGGGAAATGAGCTCCTCCTCCTCTTTCTTCCTGTTCTCAAAATGAGCCTCGATCAGCGTCTGCAGCTCATTCAGGTCCTTCTCCATGCGCTTCCGGTGGATGTCCTGGGAAAGCACAGCAGGGCTCAGAGGCTGCCACACCCATGGGTCCAGAGGAAAAGTGGGTGGCACAACGCAGGTGGGGAGGGCAGGGTGGGGGCCTGGCCTGGGAAGGGGCAACGGTGGCCTGAACCCAGGATAATGGCCTGCCAGGCCTGTGCTGGGCACCATCCCACCTGCACACACACACCCCCCCACCGCCCCGCAGGTCACATGGCCTCTGTCTCTCCTCGCTCCCCCCTCCCCTCCCCCGGGGCCCACTCACATCAAAGTCTACTCTCTCCCCATCCGGAATCTTGGGTGGCACCAAGTTGGGCATGAATGGCCTGTTGGAGAGAGGAAGGGGGAATCCATGAATGTCAACCCCATCCTGGACCCAAGGGACTATGGGTGCCCATCCTGCAGACGCTCGGCTGACAACGACAGCCTGCTCATGCCTCTCAGCACGTGGGCACGCTGCAGCCCTTTCACATGCCCTCTCTTGTTTTATCCTCCCGAGAGACCCTTGATTTAGAGACCACCAATCTTCACTGAAGAAAACTGAGGCTCAGAGAGGTAAGACTTGCTCCAAACCACACAACCAGGAAGTCAGAGAAGCTATGACGTGTGAGTCCAACTCCGAATTCCTGTGGCTGACCTCACAGAATCTCTCCCGTGAGCCCTAGAATCCTGGGGTTTGGTCCCCACCCTGACACATCCTTGCTGGGTGACACCAGGTCCAGTGGGCTCTGGTCCTCAGTTTCCCATTTGCCCTCAGGTATATGAGGGGCTGAAATGAGATACCGTCGTGTCCGTACAAGTGGCCAGGAAGGGGTAAGGTGCTGGACAAATGAATGGTGCTGGGATTGTCTCGGGGGCTTGTGTTGGGAGGTCCCACAGAAATGGGGAGAAGCTGGTGAGTGTGCTAAGGCGCCACCTGCTGACAGGTTTAGCGTCACCGAATGGGAAACCGCTGGCCCCCTGTCCATCGTGAGATGGGAGAGGCTATCTGTCCAGGGCTACAACTAATCCACCCCTTCCCTCTAGATGAACACAGTGCTGTCCATGCCAGGGCACACAATTGGTAATGGAGTGTGGGATGGATTGCAGCGCCTACTCTCCCTCGGGTCAACTCTTGTGCGGTACCCAACCTGTACAACCATACATGGTGGTCTGTGCCTGCTGCACCCCATCCCCGGCCCATGCCCGCTGTATCACACTGCACTCCTCTCCTTCCTCACCGGCCCTCTGCTCCCAGGGCTTCTCCCCAGGTGTGTCCCACTCACCTGGGCTTTGGTTTGGACTCCTCCACTGGGCCATCTGGGGAAGAGAGAAGCACAAAACCACAAGGTCAGAAGGCCCCAGATCTGGTCCCAGCTCTGCCCCTGATAAGCTGGGCACCCAAGTGCCTCTGTTTCTCCACCTGCACAGTGAGTTCCTTCTAGCCCCGGGGCTCCATGGTTCCAGGAGCATCACGGAGAATTAAAGCAGCAGGTCACAGACCCCACACTCCCTCTCCCATGGTGGCTCCCAGGGGGACATCTCAGGAGACAGCTGGGTCCTGACAAGAGGAACACCCTCCCACAGTGAAACTCCAAAGCCTTCTCTCATTCACCAGTTCTGGGCAAGGAAGCTTTGCTTCCCAGTGAGGTGGGGTCCCATGGCACTGTCCTGAGGGATCCTGGCATCAGAGTCCCCTCTCAAGGCTCTGCCTACTTGGCTGCTCCCTGGACTTTCTGGCCTCCAGGGCACCAGGAAGTTGATGGGCATGAGTCCAAGATCCAGCTGGATGCCCCTCCCCTCCAGAGATGTGGCTGGGAACCACTGAGCCCTTGGTAAAGGCTGCGACATGACAATGACTACAGCAGTGACCCACCACATGGGCCGTCTATGTCCGGGAATTTCATCCTATAGATGCCACACCTTACAAGTGGTTCTGCCTGAGCTCCAAGCGCCTTGTACGTGACGGTGACTATTCCCTGTCCAGATTGGGGACTGCACACTGGTCCCCTCTCCCACAGGGCACCGCCCAGACAGCTTCTCTGGAATGAGGGGGACTGAGGTTTGAAGCCCAACACCCCAAACCTGTATGGTCACCAACTCTGTCGTCTCTCCCTTGAGGCCCTCCCCGCCCACCTTCCTGGAGGGAGCCCTGTGGTCAGTCTCCTCTCCTCTAAAGCTGCTTGGAGGGGTTCCCTTGGTGCTCCAACACCTCTCTCCTGATGTCCAGTCCTTACCTTCAGCTTCTTTAGCCTCCTCTTCTTGTCCGTCTCCTAAACAGACCATGAGAAATTAGCAAAGATCCCTGTTCTAGACTCAAGTCCCTCTGCCAGTCTCCCCCACAGACAGGTCCTAACCAACGCGTGCCCTGCTGGCTCCTGGGCTCAGGGATGTCTATTCACATGCGTGCCCTGGGGCCCAAGGCTCTGCCTGACACAAAAGGGGGTCACAGTCAAGGCTCGTTGATTGAACAATTGGCTAAATCCCAGCCCAGGCAGGATGTCCTGTTGCACAGGTTGGAAAGCAGGTTCTAGGTGGATTTCTCACCACCATAGGAGTGCCCCTGGGGGCTCCTGCTGCCCCCCCTCCGGACCATGAGCAAGCCCCTTGCACCCTCACCCCAGACAGAGCCTTACCTTCTACATTGGTCTCCTCAGTCTCAGCCTCACCTTCAGCCTCCTCTTCTGCTGCCTCTTCCTGCTCTGGAGAAGTGAGCCAGACACAGTGAACACCCAGGCCCCCGCTTATGCTAGCCAGCAGAACCCAGATGAGAGAGGGGTGGGGATGGAGGTCAGCAACACCCAGGATCCAGAGGAATGTGTGGGTCACCGACATGAAGGGCAAGGCACTGCTCAGTTCTTGGTTTAAAGCAGAAGTTGGGAAACTATGACCCAAATCTGGCCCCCAGCCTGCTTCTGTAAATAAAGTTTTATTGGAACACAGCCACATCCATTCATGTACATACTGCCCATGGCTGCCTTTGCCATCCTCTAGCAGACTTCAGTCATTACAACAGACCCTGGTAAACCATGATGGAAGGGCATGATCAGGCTTGTGAAGGGTGCTTTTGTTCTGAACTTGTCTCTCTGCGAGTTTGGGAATTGCAAGTGGGCTTTTCTGAGCGTGGAGACCTGTTCTCTACCTAAAGGCCACTGGGAGGGCTAGAAGCCTGGGGCAGGAGCATGTTAGGGTGTGGTGGGCACTGTTGATACCAGCAGAGAGGGCTCACAAGCCCAGCAACACTCACTGCCGGGGGTGGGTAGGTCCGGTGTCTGGCTGTTCCCCCAACTTTCCGCCCCGAGTGCTCCATGCAATGATCTGACACCACGGGATATGTCCTGCTTAAGACAAGGTGTTGGGGAAGCTCCTGTCCTGGACTCAGTAACTCTAGGATCCCCTCATCCGTATCCAAAAAACATCAAAACAGCGAGAAATTGGGAGGGTGGATGAGGTGCTCATTGTGTAGACATTTGTACTGTCCAGAGACTTGGTAGGATTTTTCTATTTTCATCCCTTTGCGTGGCAGGATATGGACCCCACCCAAGTCAGGCCCTTGGAGTAGACAGATCAGACAGGATGACGCCAAGCACGTGGCTCTGCCCGTAGGAGGCACTTGGGCATGCTCACTGGCTGATGGGCTGATAAGTGGTGGCCTCTTGGCAGAGGGAGAGGAAAAAGCCTCAGGATGGGAGAGACAGAGGCTATCACGAAAGACATGTTGGCCTCCAACCACTGTGTTCTCGGTCCTCTTCTCCTAGTCTGGGCCTGGGATTGCCTCTTCTTTGATCCCCCCCACAAGGAGCCTTACCTCAAAGAAGATCCTTCCAGAAGGGGTGAGACTAGAAGGCTGGCCAGCAAGAGTATGACCACTTGTGGGGTGCTCTTCAGGCCAGCTTGTTAACCCCTCTCCCCACCCTGTCTAGTTAGTGCATCACTTCTCTATAGAATACCCCTCCACCCCCACTCAGGGTCATGGAACACACTTGATGAGGCGCTCACGGCCTCCCCACCACATCCTGAGACATGCCTGTTAGAAAACTCTTTCTAAACCTCGGCCCAATGTGTCGTCCTTGCCCCCGCCCTACCCCTCAGGGCTGGGAACAAGTCCCGGCCGCCACCACCCCACAGCAGTGCACATTTGAAGACTGACGTCATGTCCTTTCTGCTCTGGCTATTTCCAGTTCCCCCAGCTGCTCTTCAGATAAGTGTGTCACCAGTCCCCTCACACCCTGGCCACCCTGCCCGGGTCCCGTCCAGCTCAGAGGGAGGGCCCAGTATCCGCAGCGGGGGCAGAGAAAGGCCACTCGTTCCAGACAGTAGTTGCCTTCTGTGGCCACATTCGGAGCAGGCGAGGGGACAAGCCAGCCTGGGTTGTTCCCACCGCCCAGCCCAGGAGAAAGGTCAGAAACCAGGGGAAAAGAGCAGCAGCCTGGCCCCTCTGAGGCTGGGAGGAAGTGACTGAGCCACTCCACACCTCTCCCCTCCCCCCCAGTCTGCCACACAACAGGGCCCATCCATAGCAGGCAGCCAGGCTCAGGACAGCAGGGAGCAGAAGGCACAGGAAAGCAAAAGCTGTACTACCGTCTTCGTTCTCTCTCCAGTCCTCTTCTTCTGAGGGTCAGGGAGTGGCCGCAGCAAAGGGGAGAAGCGAGACAGGTTAATCCGGGAGCGGGAGGACAGGGACGGGATCAGGGAGACAGCGCGGGGTTCTGAGAGTGGGCCTTGGAATTAAGCTCCAGTTCCAAGTCCTGAACCACTACTTCTAGCAACTGAGGCAATTCGCTTCTCAGTCACTTCCCAGGTGCCTTGTCCGGAGAGCAGAAAGAATGATCCTCGCATCTCTGCCATGATCGAGCAGGCGTAGAGCGCCCAGCAGCTGCCCGGCAATGGGAAGCATTCAGTAAATGGTATCGGGCCATCTGCTCTGCCTGTAGACATGAAGACAGAGGCTCCAAAGAGCCAAGTGGGAACAATTCCCAGCCGCCAAGCATCCCCCATGTTCCTACACTGAATGAGCCCCTCAGATATCCCACAAAATATCTCCAGTTTGCAGGACTCACAGTTCTGAAAGCCCCGGTGGAGAGTCTGGCACAGGACAGATTTGCCTGGTGTGTTTTAAGGAAGCAGCCCCGTCTAAGGGGCTAAGCCTTATAACACTGAGGAACCAGCCCAGCCCATGGTATGCAAATTCCTGCCCAAAGAAAGAGCTTACAGTAGAGTGTACTCTTTCTCTCCTGGAAGAAGAGACACGGCATTGGCTTAGTGGTCATCCATGTAGACCTTGCTCTTTCTTGGTCACATATAATACCAGGGACTTAGCTATGTGGGAGACAGGTGGAGTCCCTTCACTGTAAGCGAGGTAAGACACGGGTCTCGGTCCACCATCACAGCGCAAAGCCATTTTGTTAATTCACAGCCAAATCCCACTGGGTGTAGCAGGCAGATTAGTCCCAGATCCAAAGATGTGTATCCCAAGTATCACTCCCTAAGATTCACGAGCTGGCGGAGCCTCCAAAGTGAAGGAAAACCCACCATATCGAGGGTTTATGCAGGGCACGGAGCTGAAAAGTGGGGCCAGCTATATTTTTTTGTATTCACAACATAGTTCAACGAGCTTTGAAATTATCTGGTGTTCCTGGAAAACCATAGTGACCCCGTGGCCCCCCTCAGTTTCCCCTGTGGGTTTCCCATGCATCTACTCTTTGGCCATGCACCCCAGAACAGCCTTAAGTGTATGAGAGGCTCCTCGTTTTCCCTGGCTCTCTCCCTAGACCTTCATGGGGCCCCTTCTGCCAGTGTCCACACACCATGTGCTGATATGAGAGCAGTGAGAATTTGCTGAGCCTCTAAGGGGCAGGATGCAGCCTGCCGGGCCTGCAGAAGCCTGAGGGGCCGGGGGGCTACTCTGGGTCACTTGGGACCCGGGTGGGGACGGGAGCGAGGCCTCGTAATCACGTCCATGTGTCAAGCACACAGGAAGAGAGAAAGGTTAGGGCGTTCTTGCAGGGAGATATGAGGCACAAAGCTGAGGAAAAATGTGAGAACCGATGAGAGTAGGAACGGGTCAGTGGGTCAGAATGGACTTTCCAAAGGTGCAAGGATGTCTTCGTGGTTAAATAAAATGTTTCAGATAACTGAACAGTTCTAAAATCTCATCTGAAAAATTATTAAATTAAATTGAATGTATTTAGGTGTGATAATGGTGTTATGGTTATGCTTTCTTTTTTTAAGTAGCACTTATCTTTTCGAGGTACCTACTGAACTTTTTAAGCCTGAAATATATGATGTCTGGGGAGGATTTGCAATGTCTGCTCTAAACTTGAGGGGAGGGGTGCCTGCGTGGCTCAGTCAGTTCAGCGGTTAATCATCTGACTCTTGATTCGGTTCAGATCATGATCTCAAGATTTGTGAGATGGAGCCCTGATGTTGGGCTCCTTGAAGCTCACTCCCATGGGAGTCTCTGTCTCTCTCTCCCCCACTCTCTCTCTGCTTCTCCCCTGATTGCTTGCTCGCTCTCTCTCTCTCTCTCTCTCTCTCTCAAAAATAAAATAAACTGGGGCTCCTGGTGTCTCAGTCGGTTAAACATCCAACTTCAGCTCAGGTCATTATCTCACGGTTCATGAGTTCAAGTCCTGTGTTGGGCTCTGTGCTGACAGCTCAGAGCCTGGAGCCTGCTTTGGATTCTGTGTCTCTCCCCTCTCTCTTTCTCAAAAATAAATAAACATTAAAAAATAACAATAATAATAGAATAAAACAAACTTTAAAAAAAATAACCAATGGGAGATGAAGCATAGGTGAAAAAATCTTGGCCCTAGCTGAAGCCAGCTGATGGGTGCATGGTGAGGGAGAGGTGTGCCTTATTCGATTTTGCTCCTGTTACTGCACTTAAAACTTTTCACAGTAAAACAAATAGAGAAAAAAAAAATCAAAAATAATTAATTGGAAAAAGCGGTGCTTCTGTTTGAACAAAATGACAGACAAAGGAGACAGGTTCAAACCTTTCACCTAAGACCTGAGCAACCAAGGCTAGGACCCACCCCCACCTGGGGGCCACAGTTGCTGACCAGTCTTTGCTCAGCTGGGAGTGAGGGGCAGGCCCAGACAAGCTGTTCTCTGAAGGCTCCCAGAATACTGGGTTCCTGGGATCTGCCCTCCCTACCCTCCCTCTGCCCAAGCTCCATACCTTCTGCAGCGTCTTCTGCTTAGGAGGGAAGACCATGGCCATAAGAGAAGAGACAAGACGTGGGTCAGTTTCCAACCAGGCTGCCCTTCATCCAAACGAGTACCCGGGGTGCGCTTACCTTCCTGCTCCCTGCCCGGCAGAAGGAGATGTCAATAGCACACCACACACACGCACACACTGGCCTTCCCCCAAAGATGACGCCATTCTTCATTTCCCTCGTTGCATAACGAAGCTCACCCTCCTCGGCCCACCTATAAAGACACCCTCTAACCCGGCCCAGCCTTCTCATCCAGGGCCACCCACCACTGTCCCCAGCAAACCTCTGCTGGGGCCAGCTTGCTGTCTCCAGCGTCTACCCGCCTACCACTCCTCGCTCTGAGCTTCACCAGGCTGTACCCTAGAATGGCCTTCCCTCACCCTTCTCTCTCTATCCAAATCCTACCCAGGTAAGCCCGACTACCCCAGCCGCCGCTGCTCTTCCCCTCCTTAGAGCTCCCGCACTACCCACAGCCCACCCTCCAAGCCCAGCCCCTCTTGGCTAATTGTGTCCAACATTTGACATCTTAACATCCACAGGAGAGCAAATCCTGTGACGACAGGTGCTCTGCATCCTGATACCTCTGTGTGTACCCTGGTGAGCACCACCCTCTAACAGATCATTGTGAGATCGGCGGCCAGTGTCCCACCCCCAGGGTCTCCCAGGCAGGCAGTGGACAGGGCACCTGAGGAGGAGTATGGTTCCAAGATAAAGTGCTAACAGTGAGCTCCGATTTGGGTTTCACGGGGCATGATCAGCTCAATGGCTTCAAGACAGTCATTGAATGGCTCTGGACCTGCTTTCAGGAGACACAGCTTCTAAGCTCCTCTGCCTCCTAGTCTCCAAGCCAGGTAGGACCCCAGCTGACCCTGGGACCTGAGCATCTCTATTTCCAAAAGTCTCCCAGCCTATGGCCAGCCCAGGGTCCGCAGCGCAGAGGCGCAGAAGCACAGGCCAGTTCCCCAGAACCCGCACAGCTGCTCCCCTCCCCATCCCAGGTGTCTCACCCAGGGGTAAGGGGCAGGGTAGGGAGGGCTCAGCACCCCAGACAGGATGCTCCAGATACTCACTCCTCGTACTCTTCCTCCACCTCTTCCACGTCAGACATGGTCTCCGCTCTCCCTCCGGAAAGAGAAACATGTCAGTATGGGCAGATGGAATCACCCGGTCCTCCTCAGCTCTGTGAGAGGAGCTTAGCCTCAGGCTGCCTCCTGAGACGCTGGGGGTGAAGCCAGGCCTGCCCCTCATCAGCCTGTGACCTGCAGGGAGGACCCTGCTTCGTCCTCTGTCCAGGGGGAATAACAACCCCCACATCACCTCAAGGGCAACCAGCCATGTCCATTTCACTCCTTTCTCTGCAGCAGGTAAACTGGAATATCTCGATTCTGGTGCTAATCATTGTAACTCTCAATACAGTGTTTCTATAGTTGCTCAGCCTTTCCCGCCCGCAACCTTGCCAAGCATTCAGGGCAGCAAAGCTATGCAACCCCTACTCCATGCAGTTTGCCTGTCACTGCAGAATGTTCCTCCGAGGAAGTGGTTACATGGACCATGGCACATCCAAAGTGTGGAATACTTCTCGGCAATGAAAAGGAACAAAGTGGGATACATAGGACACCTTGGATGAACCTCTAGGGAATTAACTCTCATGGAGGGGAGAAAAGGCCATGCAATGTGATTTCATGCAATGTGATATGTAATGTTCTTGAAATGGCAAAATTACAGAGGTGGAGAACAGATTGGTGCTTGTAGGGGGCTGGAAGGGGAAGGCAGGTGGGCGTGTTGACCCAAGGTACACAGGAGGGGTACCTGGCTGGCTCAGTTTGAGGAGCCTGTGACCCTTGATCTTGAGATCATGAGTTCAAGCCCTACGGAGGGCGTAGAGATCATTTAACAATTTTTTAAAAGGCACACAGGATTTTTGTGGCTTTAGAACAGTTTGGGGTCTTGAGTATGGTGATGAACACACCAATCTACACAGGTTAAAACCATACAGAATTTCACACACACACCTCGTCTGAGTAGAGCTGGGGAAATCTGTGTAAGATTATGGTTTATAGCAATGCCCATATCCTAGTTGCGACCTACACCATAGATGTGCAAATGTACCATTGAGGGAACTGGGCAAAATGTACAGGGGAACTGTATCACTTCTTAGGGAATCTACTACTGATCAATAAAAATTCCAATTAAATATGTCTGCCCGGAGGACTCTTTTTGAGATGCTCCCTTAACTGGGATAGGAACGGACCATCAATATTCAAATCCTCTTCCATCCCCTTGCAGAGTGTGTTTGGGCAAATCTTTGTGTAACATCTCTGAAGAGCAGTTCTTTCTCTGCACCCCAGAGAGAGAGCATACACATCCTGGCTACTCGGTGATTTTTATGAGGAATAAACTGACATTAAGGAAAGTGGAAGGCATTAGGCAATGTCAGGTTTTACTGTATTTCCATGTAATTACAGGGAGAAGCCACAGGGAGAGGTGAGACAAATCTGGCTTTGAATCCTGCCTCCGGCTCACATTTGCCTGTGACCTCGGAAAAGTCACTTAGCCTCCCTACACCTCAGCTCTTCTGTGAAACGGCTCCTCCTCTGGGGGGCTCAGAGCTCATGTGAAGTGCCTAGCCCAGAGCAGACCTCTAACTAAGGACTGTCATAACCCAATCCTCCTGGGCCACAGCAGTCTACCAGCCCCAGGGGCAACATACACAGTGGTCGAAGCGTGATGGCGGCCCCGCGGAGCTGTGCAGTATGAGAGCTCTCAATCTCCCTGAGTGAGGGAAGGGATGAGGTGGTGTGAGGGTGAGCCCACAGGGAGGCAGGGGTAAGATCAGAACCATGGACACGGCCACCCTCAGTGAGGCTTCTCCTGGGTCCCTGCCTGCCTGCTGTCTGGGTCCCGTCCAGCACTGCAGCCACCAACTTCTGACTCAACCCACAGGTGACAGGGATACAGAGAAGACACTCCTCACTGCCCTCTCCACTTCTCCCTGCACATCCTACTGGAGTGGCGCCCCGGCCACCCACCTGACGACACCCAGTGAGTCCCTGCTCTGATGGGGTGGGGTGATGTCAGCTGCTTTTGGACTGAGGGACTCTGAGGGAGTCTCTGCTCCCAGCTGCCCCCTGAGTGGAGAATTCCTCAGCCCCAGTGCCCACTGCAGTATCCAGCGGCTACTCCTCTGAACCTGCTCCCAGTATCTCAGGTCCTGCTGGGTTCAGGACAAGCATGTCTGTAGCGAGGCAGGCCCCTCCCCAGCTCCCTCTGCTGGCGTAGGGTGGGGGCAAGTGAGGGAGGGTTTACACAGAGCTTTAGACAGAAACTCAGAGCCACTTTTTGGCTCCGCTGGGAGGGAGGTGGGTGAAAAGAGGTGTCAGATGTGTATAGTGTCGTACCGGGAGATGGAACCTCATTCTGCCGAAGAAAGACCCAAACTCCAGGGGCGCCTGGGTGGCTCAGTTGGTTGAGTGTCCAACTTCGGCTCAAGTCACCATCTCACAGTTCGTGGGTTCGAGCCCCATGTCAGGGTCTGTGCTGACAGCTCAGAGCCTGGAGCCTGCTTCCGATTCTGTGTCTCCCTCTCTCGCTACCCCTCCCCCACTCATGCTCTGTCTCTCTCTCTGTCTCTCAAAAAGGAATAAACTTTTTTTTTTTGAAATATTTTTATTGATTTCTAGGAGAGAGAGACAGTGTGAGCAGGGGAGGGTCAGAGAGAGAGGGAGACACAGACACAGACTCTGAAACAGGCTCCAGGCTCTGAGCTGGCAGTCAGCACAGAGCCCGACGAGGGGCTCGAACCCATGAACCGCGAGATCATGACCTAGCGAAAGTCGGATGCTTAACCGACTAAGCCACCCAGGCGCCCCAAAAAGGAATAAACTTTTTAAAAAATTTTTTAAAAAAGAAAGACCCAAACTCCAGGGCATCTCCAAAATGGGTCTTCAGATGAGAGTGGCCAAAAAGAATAGCCCCCTAACCCAGATATGCACTGCCCCAAGCCCCACGGCAGGAGCCAGACAGAGAATCATGGGAGGAATCTGTCACCTGAGGGAGGACAGCGAGGTTTCTCATGGGGGCTATACATGCCAGCCTGGGACATGGGGCCTCTAGCCTTCTCCCCTCTCTTGCCCTCCCTCCCACCGGCCTGGCTCTGGGGCTCCAAGGAAGAGAGAAGCTTAGAGCCCTCTCCCTGCTCCTGGGAGCACCATCCAACTCCTAAAAATAGCAAACTGACCATGGAGAGTAGGGGAGGGCTTTCAAGCATGAGGACAACAGGCAAGCCAGCTGCCTGAAGGCGAGACTGACGAAGGGGAAGGCGACGGGCCAAGGCTGGGGCTCTGGAGTGAGACGGGATCAGGAACCTGTCAGGGCGAGGAGTGAGCGTGTTCTACAGCAGCTGTGTCCTCACACCCAAACCCTCACCTGCTTCCACAGACCGTTTTCTAGCCAAACCCTCTCACAGCCAAGAGATCAGGGTCACCTTTCTCGGGGAGTAGAGCAAAAACAATACAGGGCAGAGAGAACACTGGCCGTGACGTCAAAAGGTCTGGGTTTAGGGGCACCTGGCTGGCTCAGTCTGTAGAGCATGAGACTCTTGATATCAGGGTCATGAGCTCAAGCCCCACATTGGGCATAGAGACTACTTAAAAAACAAAATCTGGGTTTAAAACCCAGTTTCTGTGGTATGACCTTAGCTAACTCATTTAACCTCTCTGGCTCCACTAACCTGTCTGTAAAATAGCTGAGCTTCACGTTCTAGTCTCACAGAAACAACGCTCTGAGCCTCTGAGGAATGCGGGCCCCATCCCTCAGCCCTGGTCCCCAGCATCCAGCTGGAATCTTCCCAAGCTGGCAGCTGTCGGCCCCCCAGGAGAGCAAGGGGACAGGGTTGGGGGTGGGGGGGGGGCAGGGAGGGCCAGCAGGCAACCTGATCCTCTCAGATTCCTCTTCTGTCCGGAGGGGACTTGCCCCACGAGACCCGGGTCAGAGAAGGAATTCTGGAGGTCAGATGGCTTCCCAGCTACCGTAGGCCTGGAATGGGTGTTAACATTCCTCACACTCCAGGCAATCCCTTCCCTAGATACTTCCTCAGTCTGCCCAGGAGAAGCTGAAAATCAAGGGAGTATCCCTTTCTCTGCCACTCCCAGGCGCTGAGCAAGGTCTGTCCCTACGGGGCATGTTGGGATGGTGTAGGACAAGGGTCCATTAGGGACAGGTTATTAGACTCTAATAACCCCTGGAGCTGGGTTCACACCCCATGGAAGGATCTCTCACTGGGGCCTCTCCCCTATCAGCCCCCCCACCTCACCCAAATGCTGCTAGGCAGGGCTTTCTCTCTGGGGAGGAGAGTGGTCCCGGCTCTGGAGGTCAGATGAACATCACACGTCTGCTCACAGAGGTGCTCCACGGGTCCCTGCCTACCTCTGCACGTGTGCTCTTCCTCGGAGCCTCCAGGATGGTTTCTGAATTCCTGGAGATGAGAATTTCACCACCAGGACTATTCTGATTGATATGACTGCAGTCTTGCTCTGCTCTCTGAGAGTCAAGAACGACCTGCCTGGAAAAGTGTAGGGGGTCCTGGGTCTGGAGGTGAGGGGCAGGACCTAGCAAGTTGGGAGAGTTCCTGTTGGCTAGAGACTCACTGTCTTTAGAGCAGACAGATGCCCAGCAGTGATCTCATCCATTCTACAGATGAGGAAATCGAGGCCCAGTGAGGTAACGGCACTTGCCCAGGACTTGCCAGCGACACAGCATCTTCAGTGGCAGATCTGGGACTCAAATCCAAGTCTCTAACTTCTAACATAGGGTTGTTACGGCCCTACTGTGGTCGTCTTAGAATCCAATCCCTGTGACTCCTCTCTAAAGTGTGGCCTCTTCTCAGAGGGAATGTGGGCCGCTAGCGACTCTGACATCCACTCCCGGCGGATGCAGGCTGACTCTGGATACAGGCTGCAAAACATCTTCCCTCTCCTCTCTGCTCTCCCCATCTCGAGCCGCACCCGAGTCTTACCTCAAACCAGGAGCTGCCGACAGATCCCGAGATATCTGCTCAGCCTCAGCAGGGACTGGGTGAGGGCAGGGGATGGAGAGGGCTTTAAGCAGGCTGTGGGCTGGGGCCTCGTAAGCCAAGCCCCGCGGTGGGAGGAATGTGCAGCAGGAGACACGGCGGGGGCGCGGGGGGTGTTGCCTGCTATTTCGGCAGGTGCCAGGGACAGGGCTAAAGGAACATGCACCCCACGCCATATAAGCCCATGTGGTTGTCCAGCTGCTCAGATAAGCTATTTAAAACCAGAACAGATATGCAGGGAACAGAGGAGGGAGCAGGCATGTAACATAAACCAGCTGTCCCTCTTAAGAATCCTGATAAAGCAGATGCCAGGGGCCCAGGCCTGGGAAGGCAGGCTGGGGGTAGTCCAGGGGGAGCGGGGGGCAGATGGCAACCTCCAAGACACTTCAGGAGTCTCTGAGCCAGGGGTCTGGTGGGCAGAGGGGAGGGCTTAGCAGTAGCTGCACTTAAAATGACGCTGTGGGTAAAGACGTCTTCCAGATTACTGGCTGCTTCTAATGCACTGAGTGGCCTTGTACGGATGCAGGTTCAGCAGGCCTCAGTAAAGACATCTGCAAAATGGGTCTCCTCCATGACCCCCAAAGCCATGTGACAAGTCCTCCTCATGGGGAAAGGACTAAAATTGATCCAGAACGTCAAACATAAGGTAGAACCTCCAGTTAAGAATGATGTCCTGGGTTGTTGGAGGGGGCCATGAGGACTGCTGAAGGGTCTTCCCCCCAGGGCTTTAAGATAAAGCAGTACATGACCATGATCTGCTAAACCTACTAGATTGTGACATACGTAGGCCAGGGCCCAGGGTTTTCCGTGGTCTGCTTGCACGGATATGTCCACAGCCCCTAACGCAGTGCCCAGCACATCCTGTGGCTCAGTACATGATGGAAATGAAACAGGGGGAAGGCAGGCCTGGCACAGCCAAGCTCCCCTTCCCTCTCAGTGTCTCTGAGTTTTCAAGGCCTGTGTCCTACCTCTGAAGAAGGAACGCCCCTCCTCCGGGCCAGGCCCCCTCCTCCGGTGTGCCCCTGAGCTCCAACCCTCCCTGTCTCCCATCCCCCTCCTGCCCCCGCCCTTCCAGACCCTGTCCATCAGTGACGTACACTCTTGTCTGTTTCTCTGTGGGCAAAGCCAGTCTCCCCCCTCCGTGGCCCCCTCTGCCCCTGCCTGACTGTGTACCCATGCTTCCCAGTCCTGGATTCCCCTCTCAGTCCTGTTGCCTCGGGAGCTATGATGCTGCACCAACGGCCACCGTTCTTGAATGCCTTGCGTGCAGGATTCCACTCGCTGCTCATCCTGTCCGCTGTCATACTCCTGCCCCATTGACTCAGCTGAAACCTGTCCCCTCCCTGGTCCCCAGTGGCCTCTGAGCCCAAGGTCTGATTCCCCACCTCCAGGCTTATCCCTGCCATGTGGCCCTCCGTGTGCCCGGGAGATCTGTGTGGGGTGAGCTGAGGCCACGTGCCTGCCAGTCAGCATCCAGGGGGAGAAGGACCCTGGGGAAGCAAAGAGGCAGGTGGTGGGAGCAGACTGACAGAGGAACGGTGAGCAACCAGGCTGCCCGGAGAGACAGAGAGAGATGGAGGAAAAGCATGCTCATCTCGCTTTCTGTCTAGCCCACAACAGCCCAGCCTTGAGTTGTGTCCTGGCCTGGGATCTTTTGGAATTTAGGAATTGCTGGTCTTAAACCTTCCGTTAACTAGAGCCACTTTCAGGGGGTTACTGTTCCTCGTAAGCCCAGCAGTCCTGCAAACGGGCCATAATTTGTTTGCACAGATGCCTGGGAGAGGGACCCGGGCACCTAAATCACCGCAGATCCCCGTGGGAAAAATCCCGTAGGTTCTCAGTTGTTCATGGACTCTGTGAGGCTTTTGCGCTCTGTTCTAAAGCAGGGATTTAATTCTGAGAACGGGGAGGCGGGCAGTCAGTGAGGAAGTCTAGCCTCTTTCCAGCAGATGCATCTTGACAAGGCAGGGCTGCTCCCGACCTGCTGCAAATGTCCCCCATCCCTGCAGATAGATATATAGTGCTAAGGGTAACAAGGGCGAGACAAGGCGATGGCCCTCACCCAGAATTTTACTGGAAGAAGCGTATCCTGGACACTGCTTGCAAATGTGAGAGCCAAGAGAGCAGGCCATGTGTGAGGTCCCGAAGCCTTCAGGACAGGAAAGCAGACAGGACTGGGGGGTGGGGGGAACGGGACCTGCTCAATGTCACTTCCTCCCAGAGGCCTCCCCTGTCCACTCAGCCAGCCAGTCACCGCCATCTTGCACTTCGTCCTCACACCTGTCCCCGGCTGAAATCATCTTGTGCGTATGTTTGTCTCCTTGCTGGGAGGCTGACCCTCTGACAGGAAGGTCAGGGCCTTAGTGTGGGGGGCCCATGATGATAGGGACAGGGAGTCACGGGGTCGTGTCCCTAAACACTCTGCCCTGCAGCCCTTCCTTGATGGTCACCCCCAGAGAGGGCGTGCAGCTGCCAGGACCCACCAGACACCCAGGACCAAGCTAGCCCCCTCAGTCCCCACTCAGGCCTCTACTCTGGAAGGGTCCTGGGAGCCTCTCTAGGTGAGGATAGCTCCTGCCTGCTGGACAAATTCGCCTGCCAGGGGACTTTCCAAAGTTTAGAATAGACCATGCAGAAGTCTTTAGATCCCTGTTTGAACCCTGAGTTCCCAGCAGGTCCTTTGAGTCTCTGGGCAAAGCTCTGACACTCCTCCCTGGGGCCCTGGTTTCATCCAGCAGTGGACACCATGGGGAGTAAGGAGGGCTAAGCCTGTGGGCCAGGAGGCAGAAGAGAGGAGTGGGTCTGGAGTCTTCCCTCTCAGGAAGTGAAGAGGACTGGGGGCCCCAAGTCCCTCCGCAGTTGGCCTTACCTCGGTGGGGAGGCACTGGGGTGCAGGGCAGTGCCTCCACATCCCACCATTCCTAGCTCAGTGCAAGCATGGGACCAGCCACAGGAGACCCACCAGCTGAAGATGGGCCAGCCTGGGCTCCCCGGGAGGTCTGTACAGATGGGGCCCTGAGGGCCTTCTGTCCCCTAGACTACAGGATCCAAGATAGGAGCCCTCACTCACTGTCACAAAGGCTGGGACAAGGCTGGTGGTCCCTGGCTGGCTGCTTCGGCCCCGCAAGCTTTGGGAACTGGGGCCTGGTGATGCCCTTAAGGGCTGTGTTCTGAGAAACCCCAGAGTTTTCCAGGTATGTTTGCAGGCAAGGGACAGAGGGAAGGGGGCAGGGCTCTGCCCTTATTCTCCCCCACATCTCCAGTGGGTTCTGGGTAAAGCCAGAGCAGTCCAGAAGAAGAGTTCTAATGACGTTCAAATGAAAAAATAAATGTGTAGGCGTGTGTGTGTATACGTGTGTATATGTGCATGTATAGTATATATGTATATATGTGCGCATGTGTGAATATATGTGTATTTGTGTGTGCATGTATGTATAGTACACAGTATATGTGTGAGAAGTGTGTAAATATATGTACATATGCATACACGTGTGTGTACACACACACACACACACTTATTTTTTTAATTACACCATTAAAGGGTTTGACAGGGCACCAGATGACTTTCTGAGGTTGGTTTGCCCTAGATTCCCAGAAAGCTCAGCATTCCCTAAGCCCACATGGGCCATGACTTTGGGGAATGGAGGACTGGAATTTGGGAGAAAATGTTTGGGGAAGTGTGGCAGTTCTGCCCTCGGCCACGTGAGTCACTGTGCTAGGACAGGGTGGCAACTCACCTTCACACGAGGCAAAGAGGGGTGGCAGGGAAAATGACAACCGGCCCCTCCCCTCAATCTAGCCACAACACCCCCCCCCCACACACACACACACTGCAGACGACCCCAGTTAGAAAGCAGATCTTCCAGGAAGGAATCCGTTTTTAAGGTTATTATTAGTCACTTACACCTAAGAGTGAATGAGTTTATCAGATCTTTCCTGAGAGCAGCTTTTTCAGAAAGAGGGTGAAGGGGGCCACAAAGAGGCACTGGGCTCCTGGCCAGAGCAGCAGGCCCAGGAAGCAAGAGGGAAACAGAGCAGGGAGACGGGGCACATGAAGACACAGTGCAACTCTGTCACAACCCAGCCGATGGGCCTCAGCAAGAGGGATGCAGGCCCCAGGGCCCGAGGTGCGTAAACCCAGGCCTCTGGGAGGGACATCAGGACATCACGGGCACCTGGCAGCACCTGCTGGGGGCAGGTCACAGAGGTGACCCCAAGGTGCTTCAGAGACTACCACCCTGACCCTGGACGAGAGCAGGAACTAGAAGCCATCTCTGGACAGGATGTGGTGGCCACATAGCGCTGACAAGAACCGACGCTGTGCCCTGGGCTGACGCTGGGTCCCGGGATCTGCAGTGCCTGCGGTGGGGGAGAAGGTGCCAGGGCACACCCGCCCCCCAGGACGCTGGGCTAGGCAGGAGCTGGGTGAGTCTCCCCGACACTCCTGGCCCCAGGTCCAGAGGCAGAGAGGGGTCAGGGGCGATGAGAGACAGGACTGCTGCTGGAGACAGGGCGCGGCCTGAGGGCAGGCCCCGGAGATGCAGAGTTGCACGTCTGTCCCCGCAGAGGCTTCATCACACCTGTGGGGCAAAGGTCTATCAGAAAAGACAAGGAGGTTCCTAGAGCTGGGAGGGAAAGGAGGCCTCTGGACAGGAAGGCGTCCCTTTGCCCAAGGCCCACACTCATACCAGAGGCCCCAAACCTGCTGGTTGAAGTGGGGCGGGGGCGGGGGGGGGTTGCTTTGCAAAACTGTAGGGAAGGCCAAGCCATTTCAGGGGTTCAATCAGCATTCTCAAGTTTGTGTCGAACAAGCCTGAGAGCAGAACCAGGGTATTCTGGGTACTAGACTGTGCAGCCGGAGGCCAATTAGTGTGTCCACAGGGGTTGGGGGTGGAGTGTCCCCAGGGCCAGCCCCTCTCTGCCCCTCTCACCTCAACGTCCAGGGAGGAATCTGCTTTCTTTCCCCACTGGGCCCTCCTGGTGGCTGCTGGCTCTTTCCGCACCTCCTGGTTTGGGACATCAGGGTTGGGTGGGGGGGATGAAGGCCAACTGCGGAGGGGCTTGGGATCCCCAGGCCCCTCCCCTTCCTGAGAGGAAAGACCCCAGACCCACTCCTCTCTTCTGACTCCTGGCCCACAGGCTTAGCCCTTCTCACTCACCAAAGTCTCCGCTGCTGGAGCACCTATTTCTCTCAGGGCTGCCCCTTCTCTGACCCAGGCCATTCCCCCACAAACAGCCCAGAGCACAAGATCTCAGGGAGCAACGGGGTACCTGGGGGTTCTGATCTCCGGACTCCTGGGTCCTGCTGATCCACAGGTTGAGCCTTGACGTCACAAGCCCTGAGAGCCTCATGTTCTCCTGAAATGAAAGGCTTGCATCTCAGGGCGTGGGGCTGCTGGCAACAGGATGGGACTTTCAGAGGTCCTGGCACGGGGACATGATTCTGCCTCACTCCCATATCCACCCAGCACCTGCCACATATGCCCCGGAAGGCCCCCGGCCCTCCCCCAGGGGATGCTGCACACAGCTAGGGAGACGGGCTTATGAATAGCAACTCGAGTCAACAGCGGGTTCTGCCAAAATGGACATGAGAAAACATGGAGCTTTCTTTTAAGAGAGCGTGAGTCGGGGAGGGGCAGAGAGAGAAAGGGACAGAAGATCTGAAGCAGGCTCTGCGCTGTCACCACAGCATAGAGCCTGCTGTGGGGTCTGAACTCACAAACCGTGAGATCACGACCTGAGCCAAAGTTGGACACTCAACCGACTGAGCCACCCCCCCACCAGGCGCCCTGGAAAAGACGGAGCTTTCTAGTACTGCCAGGATCAGCTTCTGCATCTGGAGGCCTCGGGCCTAATCAGCCTGAAGAGACCCAGCTGGGCCTGAGCCCTCACCTTCCGGCTGGAGGCTGGTTCTGCTCGGCTCTGGCCCCGCAGCTCCTTCTCAAAGAGGTGGCGCTTGCTGGCTACGCCCATGGGAGCCACAAAGAATTCGGTGCGGGAGGAGCCTGGACACTTGACTGACTCTGATCTCTGGAAAGAGAGAACACCGATGGCTGACCCATGAGGGTGAGGTGCGCAGAGCACACCTAGCACACTCGTCAGGTACCCTGGACCCTCCACGAGACCCATGCCCACCTGAATAGCCGTGTGGTATCTCTCCAGCTTCTCGCCCAACTTGACTGTGCTGCCCGGGAGCCTCATGCTGGCGCTGCGGGACGGCAGGACAGAACAAAACAGGTAAGACACCTGCACCGGGCCTGCCTGGACCCCGAGCAGTACCCACCCACCCTTCTGGCAAAGAGAAGATGGCCTCCATCACCGAAGGAAGCTATAATGACTTGGCCAAAGTGAAGAACTACAGGAAAGTCCAGGGACTTCCGTCATCTCCCCAGAAACATCCCACTCAGCAGGGCACCACCCCCGGGATCAGAAATATCTGCCATTTCTCCCCCATTCTTGTCACTGGACCTCACACCCATCTCCTGAATCTCCTTCCTCTCTACCTTCCCCAGCACCGCAGTCCCCTTCCCCAACTCCCCCTGCCAGCCACCCCAAGCTCTCCCCTAGTGCCACCAGACCACTCCTACCCCCAAACAAAGCCCAACCTGGCCTAACAGCTCAAACCTCTCAGGCCACAGGGCAGGGACCAGACTCCCCGACACAGCATACAAGGCTCTTGGTCTGGTCCCTGACTCCCCTCCCGACACCAGCATCCACCCCCCCACCACACATGCAGTTAACTGGACACCTCATGCTTTTCATACTCTGGGCTTTCGTTTGTGCTGTTCCCTCTATTTCAAGTCCCATGCAGAAGTCAATTGCTCTGTGATGTATTCTCCAGCTCCCGCAGGCCAGGCTGCTACAGCCTCTTTGGGGATACATTCCTATCCCTGCACCTCCCTGCCGGGGGGGCTTCTCACAAGTTTGATGTGAGGTGCTGGAGAGTGGCAGCCATGTCTCATTCACCTGCCTACCCGGTGCCACCACTGTCGCCCCAGGCCTAGCCTGGATAGTTGGCTCCACAAATGGTTAGGGGCAGGTGGACACAGCGTGAGTGCACTGAATTCCTCATGCTTGAGCACAACTGCTTTTCAGTTTCCATTTCAGTTTCCTTTTTCCAAACCACAGTCCTCAAACTACTTGCCTCAAAATTACGGGGCACGGGGATGCTTATGGAGCATGCAGACTTCCAGGCCCGCCTGGATCAGGTCTGCTAAAAGCAGGGACTTTCCCTCCCCCGCACTCCTGGTGATCCTCCTCCTGGAAGGCCATCCTCCCCGTTCCTGCCCCAACGTCCTCCCCTTCAGAGCCCCACCCAAGCCCTGTTCCTGTTCCCTCCCTCCCCTCCGTGTTCCATCTCACTGGGCCTTGTGCCCTCATGTTAGTCCAGTGTCCCTGCAGGATCTGGAGCCCTGGCTGAGGACTTCCCCCCGGGGGCTCTATGGCACAGCCTGGCACAAGGAAAATGGGTGGCAGGCGCTCAGCAAACACAGACTGAACATGACCAGATCAGACAAAGCCAGGGCCCCCAGGCCCCTGACCTGCGCATTAAGGTTGTTTCCGAGTTGTCTTTCCTGGAGCTCATCTGAAACAAGAAGGAGAGGCTCTGATGAGTGACAGTCCCCAGGAGGCCACGGCCCTCCTGGACAAAAGGGTTCAGCTCTCTGAACACTTCCTCCTCCTCCAACCCCCAACCAAACTTCTGTTAAAGACCCTCCTCTGGTGTGGGAGACACTTCTCCAGACCCACCAGGCCGGGTCAGAAGCCCCTCCCCCGGCCCCACCACCACCAGCTCAGCCACCTGTTTTCCTGTCTGCCTCCCCACTGTCCAGGAGCCCTGACCAGCCCTGACCAACATCAGGCATCCAGCTTCCTCCCCGGGGCCTGGCACACATCAGAGGCACAAAGTACAGGGAGTCAAAAATGAGCGAAGCACCCAGTGAACCAAGGAACTAAGAGTAAATTATCAGGGGAGAGGGGAGTCCTCCATCCACACCACGTGTACTACTGGGCAGAGCAGGGAACACTTGGAGAGCCCCACTGCTCTTGGCCCCTGCCCTTCCCCACTGCGCAAGCCTCCTGGGTGAGATCAGGAACTGATGAAGGCAGGCGTGGGGCCCCTGCCACTGAACCTGCCTGGTGCCCTCTTCCTGCAGCCCTGACCTTGTCCACTAGGTGGGGCTGCACAGTCTCATCCACACCCACCCTCTGGGTCATTAACCGGGCTTTCCTTCGCTTAATCCAAGTCATCTGCTCTTGGCCCCCCATGAGAATCCAAAACCCCTCTCTATCCAAAGGATCCTCTTGATATCTAACCAAGGTCCCCATGCTGTGATAGATGCTGGTTTCCCCAGCGTGCCCCGGGCTCTCACCCGAAAGGAGATGGTCCTGGGGCTGGAGCGTTTGAGGGAGCTGCTGTAGGTGGCCTGCGTGGGTGAGGGTGTGTCCACCTCTTCCTCCTTGCTGGGGATTTTCACCTGGATGGAGTGGGGGAGGGTCACACGGGAGGTCGGGGTAGCCCGAAGCCCAAGCTGCCATGGGGACCCCATGTGGCCTGGCTCATCCCAAAAGCTGCAGGGGAAGAGGGGAAGAAAACAGCCCTGCCCCTCTGCCTCGGCTGCGTGGATCATGGACACAGGTCCGTGGGGCCAGGACACCAGGTAGAACTTTCCAGCAGAACTTCTGGAAGAACGTGAGGCTTCCCCAAAGTCTGCTGGTGTCCTGAATCCAGGCCCTGGGTGACGATGGGGTTCAGGGTAGCAGTGCTCCCTGGCAACACAGCAGATGCCCTTTCCAGCTGCCAACAGCCTGCCCTTGCCTCAATGACCCCTATTCTGATTGGAAGCAGGTAGGGAGAGAGGAAACTGCCAAATCTGGCCCCATGGTGAGAGGGACGGGAGATGGCAAGGGCGCCAGAGACCACCGGGGACCGGATGAGAGGGGCGTGTGCAGGGATGGGAGGGGCGGGGCACTGCCAACCTGGAGTGTGATGGGCGGGAGGCGGGAAGCCACAGTGGGAGGGCCTGGCGCCCCATGCTCTCCCAGCTCTGCCGCGGACGGGGGGCTCTTCTCAGAGAGGGCGCCTCCCCTCTGCTCCGCGGTGGTGGGCTGGCTTCCCCCAGAAGCCAGCTGCCACCCTGCCTGGGGCTGCCCCGAGGCTGCCGCCTTTGGAGCCAGCTTTGTCTCCGCACCCGGGGTCTCCTCGGACACCAGAGACTTCTCAAAGAGCGAGGCTTTCTCGGAAACCAGTCTCCTCTCTGAGTCTGATGTCTTCCCTGGGGCCGGCATCTTCTCAGAGACACTTGTTTTTTCTAGAACGGATTTCTTCTCTGAGATGACTCTCTTCACTGACACAGAAGTTTTCTCAGGTCCCGGGACCTTCTCCGAGATGGAGGTCTCCTCTGAGACCAGTCTCTTCCCAGGGGCTACTATCTTCTCTGGGACGGAGGACTTCTCTGAGGTGGGGGGCTTCTCTGAGACCCCCTTCTTCCTGCCTTCTGCCTCTTGGTCCGCCAAGCTCTCCTCCTCCCTGGCCCAGGGACCCCGCTGCTCCCGGCTCAGTCTCCGGCGAGGAGGCAGTTCCGCCTCCTTCCTGGGCTTGAGGGGCTGCTGGTTGGCCTGCCCGGGGCCAGAGCTGTCCCCTCCCTCCTCTGCCTCCAGCAGGACAGGGGCCTGCACTGCCTGCCGCCTCTGCCTCCGCTCCTGCCGTGTCCTGAGGATGGCCTGGCTGTCCTCGTCCTCATCTCTAGAGGCTGCGGTCTGTGGCCCGGGCACCTCTGCCTCATCCACGCTGGGCAGTCTAGGCCAGAAGATGGGAGACAGGGTGGAAGATAAGAATCAGAGGCTATCAAAGATGGGAGAGACCCAACGGACATGCTTCCTGGGCCACCAGGGAGGGGGTGAGGAAGTAGAGCCCTGGCCTCCCCTCCTCACCCCACTCCACCCCCATCACTTATATAAAGATCACTTTTATCTGCTTTACGTATTGGGCTTCCATGAAATCATTTGAACAATGTGCACCGTGTTTTTAAAAAGTTTATAAACCCCTATATGGTCCAGCTACCCATGTTGAGACCCAATCAACAAACACTGACGGAACAACCCCTTTGTGTGTGCTGGGCCCCCGTGCTGGGCAGTGGGCGTCAAAAGGAATAAATAAAATGCTCGCCTCCTTAGGGCTTAGATTGGGACCAGAGACATTCAGGGATTTGTCAAAGGTCACACAGATGATTAGTGGTGGGGCTCAGAGGAGCGCCCTCCGCTCTGACACACCAGCCTGCACTCTCGTTGGTCACGTGGCTGCTGGGCCTTGGTGGCAGCCACGGGCACTGGCACAGCCCAGAGCACACACCCTGTTCACCCTTCTCTCAGAGACCCAAGGAACACAAGACACCTGAGAGGATCATCCAAAACCTGTAGCACTTGGCCTCCAGCAAAAGGAGATTCTTTTCCTTCCTCACCACCCTGCTCTCCATGGGAATTGGGGCAAGTTAATCCACTGTCTGGGCCTCAGCTTCCAAATCTGCAAACCCAGGCTTGATGGGTGAAATGAGACTGATTCCAGGTGACTGCCCAGCACGGTCTCGGCGCACCGGAGACTTCCTTTCCATCCTCACCCTAAAATCCAGGCGGCCAGAGTAGTCGCCATGTCCCTCCCCTCAGAAGGGAATCATGGAGGTTTGGGGTTGGGGGGAGCAGCCTGGGGTGTGGAAAGAGCTGAGCCACAGACTGATCTGATGAAAAGTCGGATGAAAAGTCTGGCTTTGCCAACCTTAGGCATGTGATCTCAGCAAGTCACCTGTGTGCTCTTTGACCCAGTTTCTCCATCTGTCAAATGGGTTAATGATACCTGTCTCTCGGGGATATTGTTAAAGATTAAGTGAGTTTTATCCATCAAACATGCAGCAGAAGTAGTGGCTCATGGATAGCATCAATGTATAGACAGGATTCTGATTCCGAAGAGGGTGCCGCGCTGAGGAGGATCTAGGGAGGGTGAGGAGCTTGAAACTCATCTGCGGACCCTTTACCTCATTCCCTACAGGCAAGCCAGACCTGGTCTATCTGGGGCAGCTAAGTCCACCTGGGATAGGGAAACGGTGCCTGGTCCGTCCCCCGCCTCGTCTCCCTCCCTGACCCGAGCACCTCTGGGCAGCTGGTGTGTCTCCATTCTGGGCGGGCTTGGGGGCCTCATCGTCTGCGGTGGAGCTCAGATTCCGGTGCCGCCGCCGGCGCTCGCGTTCCTGTTCCTCCTCATCCTCCAGAGTCCACTGCCTGGCCAGGCTGGGGGAGGGGGAAGGGAAGAGGGGAAGAAGGTCAGTGCAGCGCAGACTCCTGGCTCCCCGGATACCAGTTCCCAGGCCAGATCCCTGCAGGGGCTGGGAGAGCAAATACCCTCTAGGCCTGGGATGTCTGCAGGCGGTTACGGCACACTTGAAACATGGCTGGGCTAAACTGAGATGAGTTAGAAGTATAAGCTACACACATATTCCCAAGACGTAATATGAAAAACAGAATGCAGAGCATCTCGTTGATAATTCTACTTATTGGGGCACCAGGGTGGCTCAGTCGCTTAAGCGTCCGACTTCAGCTCAGGTACTAATCTCTCAGTTCATGAGTTTGAGCTCCATGTGAGTGCAGAGCCTGCTTCATCCTCTGTCTCCCTCACTCTCTGTCTCTCTCACTCTCTCTCTCTGTCTCTCTCAGAAATAAACATTTAAAAAGTAATGATAATTCTGCATATTGATTACATGTTGAAACAATATTCTGGATATACTGGGGTAAATGAGACACATTATTAAAATTAATTATCTGTTTCTTTTCACTTTTTTAGTGCGTCTAATAGAAAATTCACAATTTTAAACGCGGTTCATATTTGTGGTTCACATTACATGTCAATTCAATTTCAATTAAAGGTACTATAAGGATTTGGATTGGACCAGAGTTTCTTCTCCTGGGTGCCGCTGAGACTTCAGCCGGATAACTCCACGCGGAGGGGCTGTGCTGAACTGTAAGATGTTGAACAGCATCCCTAACCTCTACCCACTAGATGCCTTACACCACCCCCCAGTTGTGACCACCAAAAATGTCTCCTGACTTTGCCATGTCTCCTGGGACACCCTGGATGACAAGCCCTGGGTTAGACTTGAACTCTGGAACCCAGAGTAGGAATGTGGGGCCTCCCTCTCTAGGGGTGGCTAGGAATGTGGGAGGGTGGGCACGGTTCTGGCTGAAGGAGGTCTATATACTTGACCAGTTCCTTTTTCTTTTTGGTCCTGGTCTTAGATAATATTCAGCAGTGGACAATCACAGAGAAACTTTCTCAGAGGTCCTCAACAACTCGGGGATTTCCCAGCCGTTCAGAATGGGGAGACTCACAAATAAGGCCAGTTACACCCAGAAGAGATTCTGGTATCCGCTTCCCTTCTCAGGGGCTCTTTGAGCCTCTCTCACCTTCTAGACCCAGCTTTCACTCGTTGGGGAACATGGGGAGTCCATACACTCTACCTTGGGTTCCTGCCCCCAGTCACCCTGCATTCACAGGACCAGTCAGGCACTCCCACAGCTAGTCACCCACCTGCCTACCCATCGCCTTCCTCACTCACCATCTGCCCATCTAGCCACCTGTCAGTCCAAACAACCATCCACCCAGTCACCCCCCATTTCCCTGCCCAATCCCACCCCCCCACCAATCATCTTTAGCCACCTGCCATACCATCCCCACCCCACCTCACTCCCAGCCCACCCCATCTTCCATCCACCCACACTTCCATCCCAACCGAAGAGCAAATTCATCTCTAAGCGACTGTGATGGGCCAGCAAGTCAGCAACTGGGGGATTCACAGAACAAGGCAAGGTCCCTGCCCTAAAGATACCTACTATCTAGTGAGAAAGAAAAGTGTGTCCACGGGGCACCTGGGTGGCTCAATCAGTTGAGTGTCCGACTTCGGCTCAGGTCATGATCTCACGGTTCGTGGGTTTGAGCCTCGCGTCGGGCTCTGTGCTGACAGCTCACAGCCTGGAGCCTGCTTCAGATTCTGTGTCTCCCTCTCTCTCTGACCCTCCCCTGCTCATGCTGTCTCTCTCTCTCTCTCAGATATAAGTAAAAACATTAAAAAAAAAGTGTGTCCACCAATAACTTGCCCAACTCGCACAGAAATTGCTCTGCAGGGGAGAGAATGATTACTGTAGGCCGAGCTTATCAAGAAAGGCTCACAGATGAGACTGAACCTGGGCTGGACCTAGGTGGGCAGACAGGATTTCAACAGAGGTGACAAGGGGCAGGGGAAAACGGGGCAGTCCAGACAGCAAGGAGGGCCTGAGGGAGGGGCGTTGGTGGAGCAGAAGACGTGCTTCACCCAGAGCCCTGGGAGAAAGTTTGGGCTGGGAGTAGCACGCCCCAAAAGTCAGCAGAGTGAGCCCTCTCTGGAGCCTCCCAGTGCTATGTGGGGCCCCTGCAGATAGGAAGAGTCTAGAAAAGGCCTTCTTCCCTCTCAGAGTTACTGTCTGGCCTTCCCTTTGCCACTGTCAGGTGTCAAACCTGCTCTCCCAGCCCACCCGGCTGCCCAGCCCTATTCCTTCTGGGCCTCTTCCCCTCCTGCAGAATATCGCCCTGCACCCAAGACTCAACTGAAGGAACAGATGTGGTTTTTTGAGAAAAAAAAAAATCATGCAAACCCACAAATTTTGCAAATGGAATTGCATATGAAAAGCATCTATGGGAGCCTCCAAGGAAAGATTCCCCAAGGCGGCCTTTTGTCAGGCTGAGTCTACTCCTCCTCCCCTGGGGCACCCCCAACCCCCCACCTTTCTTCTTCCTCCATTTTCCTTCCTAAAATATGGAGGAGCCACACGATGGCTCCAATCTGGTTTTCTAAGTCCAACATTGTGTTGATGCAACATTCACCAAACAAATATTTTTTGAACACCGGCGAGAGGCCAGGCATAGTTCCAGGGACTGGGGTGTGGCAGAGGAGACGGACAGGGCTCTTCTGTGCACGGAGCACATGTTACAGGGGGCCAGGGTGCAGTCAGTGAGCAAGGAAACAAGCATGTGAACAAAGCGATGTCAGCACGGACATAGGATAAAAGAACAGGTAAGGGGAAAGCGAGAGACAACGACTGGGAGGGGAAGACCCTCTGAGAAGCAGCCAGAGGAGCTGGATCTGGCGGCAAGGTGGCCCAAGAGGAGGGCACAGCGAGTGCCAAGCCCTGGGTGTGACAGCTGGCTGTTTGGGGGAAGGGAGAGCCAGAGGGTGGCCCACAGAGAGCTTGGACAGGGAGGAGAGACCAGGGAAAAGGCCTTTGTAGACCAGGGAAAGAATGTGGGTTATACTCAAGTATCCTGGAGAACCCTGGATAGTTTTACATAGGGGAATGACACGACAGAATTTATTATTATTATTATATTATTACATCTCTGGCTACTGAAGGAAAAGGAATTGAGGGTAGCAGAGGGAGAGGGAAACAGAGACACCTATCAGGAGGCTCCTGCAATCACCCAGGTGAGAGCTATGCTGGCTTGAACTTGGTGATGACAGAGAGAAGGAAAACAGGATGGATTGAGGACACATTTTAAAGACACAGATCAGAGCCTGGAGCCTGCTTTGGATTCTGTGTCTCCCTCTTTCTCTGCCCCTCCCCTGCTCTGCTCACGCTCTCTCTAAATTAAATAAATGAATAGATAGATAGATACATACATGCATGCATACATACATACATACATATGTAAAACGTTTTAAAAAAAAAAATCATTCCTTGAGGGGCACCTGGGTGGCTCAGTTGGTTGAGTGGCTGACTTTGGCTCAGGTCATGATCTCGCAGGCTGTGGGTTCAAGCCCTGCGTTAGGCGTTCTGCTGACGCTTGGAGCCTGGAGCCTGCTTCAGATTCTCTGTCTCCCTTTTTCTCTCTCTTTCTCTGCTCATCTTACACTCTGTCTCTCTCAAAAATAAATGAATGTTAAAAGAAAAACTCATTTCTTGAGTCCACATTCTACTCTAGCTACTGTCCCATTTTATTTGCTTTTCTCTGAGGAAAGTTTCTCCAGAGAGCTGCTGGTCCTCACCGGTTCCTTCTTTTTTGATTCCCATTCTCCCCCGGGTAAGGCAGCCTGCGTCTGGCCCGAGCCATCGGGCTGCTTTCCCATGGACCAGGCATCTCTTCTCACTACTCCGTGCTGGTCTTCGTGTCCCCACCCCCACCCCAACCCCTGCGGTCTTGGACAGGACCTCATTCCTCCCTGCGGTTTGCACTCTGACCTCCAGTCTCCCTGGCTGACGACCTTGGCCTCCTTTGCACGAGCGTCTTCTCCTCACCCCGAACAAGCCAGAAATGGAACTTTTCCTTCCCCTACCACTACCTAACATCTCCCTGAACTCCTTTCTCCTCTGATCTTTCCCATCTTACTAACAGAAATTGCTCAGGCCAAAAATCCTAGTTTCCTTGTTTCTTCTTCTTTTCTGCCCTCATCCCCATCCACAATCCGCCTTTAGCACAGAGCCTGATTAGGGGCTCGAACTCACGAACAGTGAGATCATGACCTGAGCTGAAGTCAGACGTTCAACCAACTGAGCCATCCAGGTGCCCCAGCAATGATTTTTTAATTGAGTTATAATTTATATACAATAGAGACGCATCAAGTTTTCTTTTTAAAGAAGGCAAAGGAAGGAAGAGTGGAGAGGGTATGAGAAGTTCGGGAAGAAAGTGTGAAGATCTTGTCCTGCAGGGAGAGGAGAGACCACAGGCAAGGGCATCTGTCATCTCCAGCACCCACCACGGTGCCTGGCGGCCCCACGAGAGCCAAGAAATATGAAATGAACAAATGTGACTATCAGCTCTCAGATGTGCAGGGCTTTCCTCCTCCCTGAGAGCAGTAAACCTCTGTCATGACAAGGAAGAGAACAAGGGGGGGGGGGTGGGGGGGGACAAATCCCGAGCTCCCCCAAAGGCCATCTGCCCATCTCTTTTGAGCCAAGCTCTGATGCCCTCCCATTCCTCAGCTGAAGTTGGCTCATAAGAGATCATCAATTCATGTGTGGTAAACGAATGAATGATCAATCTTCAGACACACAAAGCTCACAGGGGTCATGCGAAGGGCTATGGGAATCTTGTTTAAATTCTGAGGTCAAGGCCATGAGGCTTTGATTAGAGCCCTCCTCCATCAGCCTTGGAAATGCCAGCTTCATCTGGCTTTCATCTGAGGCCATGTTTTCAGCTCTCTCCTTCTCTGGACTTATTCCCTCCCCCTATGAACAGTTTGGGACCAGCTTTCACCCTCCAAAGCTAAAGGATCCATCCACTGGGGAAAGTGCCCCACAAAGCCGGAAGGTCTTCTCCCCTGACCACACCCAGCAGGGCTGGGCCGGAGCCTTTAGGATTCCTTGGTCCTGAGCAACCCGGTTCCCACACGCTCCTCTCAGCCCTGGGGGAAGCAGCTTATTTGTTTATTCTCCAGTGGGGCCATATATGGAGTGCGATCTGCCAGAGCCCAGTCTCCTCAAAAATGACTCACCCTCCTCCTTGCTCCCCAGGCCAGTCCTAGACCTAAGGGGCCTCCAGGGCTGCAAGTGCGAGAGGTGGGGCCCAGGTGTCCTTGAATGTCCACCAGCTTTATGCCATGACCCTACAGTTCACCCAAGGTGACTTGTCCTCCCCTGCTGCTCATGAATCATGGGGCTGCCTTCAACCCCTGGCAAAACATGAACCACTTCACCTTTACCACCTTCACCACCACCCCGCCCCAGGGGAGAAACGCTATTACCAATAACCTGCTAGAAGATGAGAAAATGGATAGAACCAAGGAGAAGGAGGGGTGGGGGTCAGTACCCAGGAGGGGCCTCAGCTGGCACGGTTGTCAAACCCCCCCGTGATAAATAAATGATAATTAAGAGCCTTAGAACAGTACTTGACATTTAGCAGCACAAAAATAGTTGTGGAATATAGTAAGTCAATACATAAAGGAATCAAGAAGGGAAGGCAAGTAACATAGAAGCGCTTACTGTAATTAACACCAGGCACTGTTCTAAGCATTTTACAAAGAACGTTGACATTAAACCTCACAACAGCCCAGTGAGTAAAGGTGGTATTATTCCCATGTATAATAAAAAGAAAAAATATAATAAAACTAATAAAAAGAAAACTAATAAAAAGAAAAAAAATAGTAAGATTCCATCCTAGGTCAGCCTCTCACAAACCCGTACCCTTAACCACAATACCAAATGCCAGTAAAAGATGGTCTGGGGGGCCTGTCCCTAAGGCAGGGTGAGGCTCCACCTTCTTAAGAGCCCACCAGTGTACATATTCCGAGGAAGGAGCAGGGGAGCCTGGGAGGGCCTCTGACAGTGTGGGCTTCCCCACCCCCGGACAGGCCAGAGCTCATGGCGTAGCCTAGGAGGGAAGAGGTTTGGGGAAGCCCCGTGGCCAACACATGGACCAGAGCCAGGCCCAGGATGGAACCTGGGTCCCACCATCCAGGAGTCCTAGTCACTCTCGCCAGCTGATGCCACAGCCCTAGGAGGCTGCCCCACCACACCTTCCTTCCCCACAATCCTTTCCTCTGCCTCCTGGCCTTCAATCGGAGACAACAGCACTGTCTTTGCCTCCTTGGAGGACTGCTAACGTCCCTCATGCTGCACTCACACCGCTGCTCTCGGCTGCTGCAGACCAGACAGAAGTTAGATCTAAGGAAGAAACCCCTTCTTCCCCCACCCCCTGCAGAGGACCTCAAAACAAGCTTGGAAAAGTAGATCAAGGCTCAGCTGCTCTGATTAAAGTAGAAGAAGGGTAGGAAGGCTGCCCCAGAAGCGTCTGTAGAGCCCTGAGCCTCAAGGAGCAGGATTTGCAAACCTCTGAAAGAAAGAACAGCCAGAAGGTGCAGCTCTGACTGTGTGACTTTGGACCAGTTCAGCCCCTGAGGGAGACAGGTCTCTGGTTCCCCTTGTGCACAATGAGGGGTCACCACGGGTGGGCACTGAAGTCCCTTGTAGCCCTGATGGTCTAGGGAGGTGTCAGGGGAGAAGAGGAGGGCAGCGCTGGGTGGGGAGGAGGTCTGCTCAAGGCCCAGGTAGGGAAATGATTAACCACTGGCTGCTCAGTCCCAGGCGCTCTCAGACCCACCCCTCACCCCCTGCAGACAGGCCCCGCCCAGCCTCTATGGGCACCCAGCCAGCCAAGGGAGGGAAGGAGGAGGCCACTAACCAGGGCACCCTGCCAGCCAGCTCACCGCTGCCCCCATCCCGGGGCTGGAGCATCTGAATCTCTACTTCACGCCAAGCGTAGGCTGCAGGCTGGCCCTCCGCTCCCCACCCGGAGCTGCATGGGTCATGCCCTCACTACAGTACTCCCCAGCCTGGGAGCCTCGGTTGACAGTGACTCACAGCCCTTTCCCTCCTGCCCGCCGAGGCTTGTTGTTCACGCAGGGAGCAAAGAAGGAGCGGTCCTCTGCTCCAGGTGCCTCATCAGGGTGACTGTTGGCAGCAGCAGTGTCTGCCCACGGGGCTCTGGGAGGGCCAGGGCCAGCAGGGAGGGCCACCCAGGGGCGCCTGTGGCAGGACTCGTTCTCCGGGGCGTTCCTGGCACTGACCCTGGACAGCCCGTGGGAACCCGGCACTACCCCAGCAGCCACATGTCCGTCTGAGCAGTGGACAAGCTAAGACCAGACACTGCTCCCATTTTTTAAAGTTCCCATGCCCCAGCTGCCCACCCACCACACACACACACACCCCCTATACATATCCAGGCATGCTCGCAGACACAAAATCACATACAGCCCACCAGTCTGTGAGCTCCTGAGCAAGCAGTGTGTGGTTTGCATTTTTCACTCAATGCCTTATACTGAGATCTTCAATAGACAATTCACACCAAAAAGACTCAGACTCCTAAGGCCCCAACTCAGCAACATAAGAACCGACTACCCACACAGACGCCTCCACACTACATAGGCCATAAACATGCTTGCCCACACATACACCTGCACGTACACATACAAACACACATCCATAGGCACAGATATGCCCACACCTTGGAGAAAAGACACTCCCACATCAACCCCCATGCACGCTGACCCACACACAGAGTCCAAGGTCTGGACCCCCAAGCTCCACCCTCAGCACAGACCTTCCCTGGGGTGTGTCCGACCTCCCTGGCAGCCTCGGTTCCTTTTTTTCCGGGGCACTGAGTTCCTTCCATTCTCGGGGCTTACTTTATCCCCTTTCTAGATCCCTTGGGCCCCTCCAGCTGGGGGGTTACCAGGCCATTGTGCTTCAGAGCAGTGTGAGGTCTTGAGGGCCTGAGAAAGTGGGTCCCCCAGCCCTGGGGAGATGAGACTGAGACACTGGAGAAGCTCTAGAGCCCTTCTGGAGGGAGGGGAAGGAGATTCTAGAGCACTAGAGAATGCCTGAAAGTGGCCTTAATGGGGAAAGCCTGGGGAGGGTGCTGGTCTGCCCTGGCCTCAGTATCCAAATGCCCACCTGGGAGGGGTGGCCAATTTCTACTTGGCTAAAGCCTGCGAGATCAAAGGGGTAGGAATCCAGCTCGGAGCTACTACATGGGCCTCAGTCTCCTCAAGGGCAAGATGGGTGTATATGATGGGCAGTGGGAGATAAGAGGGGAAGATGCTGACATGAACACTTCTGAGCTGAGGTGCAGGGTAGCTCCAAGAGGAGTCACCGGGGGTGACCAGCCACAATGAGGGGCGCTGCCTCTGGGACAACCCCCAACACCCCAGTCTTATCTAGTCCTAGCAGGACGTCCGCAGGCAGAGAGGAGATACCCAGTTTCCTGACCCTTTGAGGGACCAGCCTACAAATAAAGACCGAAGCACAAAGGGGAACAGCAACTATCTTGAGGAGACCCAGCCCAGGCACCACCCCAAAATGCCAAACTCAGAGTGTGTGCCTCATTAGTAGGAGGGGGGTCTGTTGCCCTCGGGTCTCTATCCACTGATCCTCTCCTACCCTCCAAGGAAGTGGTGCCCCCACGTCTCCTCCTCAGGAGGGGCAGAGGGACGCCTCCCCAGGGGCCGGCTCTCCCAATCTCTACCAGAGAAACGTGGCAGCAGGGGAGGCTGGTCTGGAAATGGGGCTCAGCGTAACTCTTGAACACCTCCCCAAACCCCCAGCGCGTCCCCGCAGGGGGTCATATTGAAGGGGGCTCCGCCAAGCAGCTTGTGTGTGGCCTCAGCCCCCAAGGGGAGGAAAGGAAACCGTGGGGAGCGAGAACACCGTCCTGTCATTTAAGAGTTCTCCAGTGTGGCCCCAGTGCTGGCCCCCCTTACGGAGCAGCAGGATCAAGGCTCGGAGCCCGGATCCCCGGGCGGGAAGGTGGGGAGTGGGGAGGGGGACCCGCGCGCGGAAGAGCCCCCGAGCGGCTCCGCCGGCCCGCCGCGGCGCTCACCTGGACAGCGCGGACCAGTCCTTCCTGCTGACAGCCATGCCGCTGAGCCCGCGGGCCGCCGTGTGCGCGTGCAGGGCCCGGCGGCCGCCGCCTCACCTGCGCGCCCCTCCCCCGCCGCCCGGCCCAGGTAGGGTCACATGGCCGCTTATCTCAGCCCGCCCGGCCCGCCGCGCTCGCACCGCCGCCGCGGGCCGCCTCCCCGGGGTGTGGGCGGCCCCGACAAAGCCGCATTGATCTCCGCCCCGGCCGGCCGGACCGCGCGCCCGCGAGCGCCGGCCAGCTGTCGGACAGGCAGCCAGACGGACCGACGGACGGACGCACAGGCCCGCGCGGGGTCGATCGGCCGCCCGCGGCGAGGGCGGGGGACTTCCTGCTCAGAACCAGTCGGACCAGCTCGGCCGCTGGGCCGCCTCCTCTCGCAGGGGCCGCGCGGGGCCGGGGCGGCGGGAGGGGACCCGAAGATCCGGGGTCAGGCCGAGCACACTGCGGGTAAACCGACTTAGCCCGGAGAAACCCAAGAGCAGACGCCAAGCGGGAAAGTTAGAGCCGGTACCAGAACCTCGGGTCTGCAGCCCCCACCCCGCCCCTAACAGGGCCCACGGAGATATGAGTGGGTAGTGCTTTCTCTGTGCCGCGTTCAAAACTACAAAACGCGCCCCCCCACCCCCCATGTAAAGCCAGCCTCTCCCCAAATGAGATTTAAGAAGATTCAGTTCAGCAACCATTTGAGCGCCCACAAGCTCTGAAAACACAATGATGTCAAAGGTACTGTCCTTGCTCTGCTGATACTGGACTTTGGGCTGGAGGGGCAGGGTGTGTAACAGGGCAGAGGAAGATCAGCTTTTCCCCGGGAAGGAATGAGCACAGATAACCAGGACTGGGATTTCGGAGCGACTTAAGGCAGCGCAGGCACTGAGCACCACCTGGCTCCCTTAAAGTCCCCATCTGGGCCGTTGGGTGCCAGGTGCTTTCTATCCAGGAACCAGCCTCAGATGGGCTGAGAGAGGGCGAGTCACTGAGCAGGGAGAATCTTATCACCCCTGATGGATCAGACCTGCAAGGGCAGCAGCAGCGGATCCTGCTCTGAGAGGGATGAGATGCAGCCCCAGGTGCCAGGAAAAGAAGATGGAGAGTCAGAACTGCCTGTAGTCTGGCCTTGCTCCCAAGCCTGGCCTCCCTTTGGCACTGACTCAGGAATGATGGCCTCTAAGGAGTCCTCCAGTTCCGAGATCTCACAGTGACAGGCAAGCCGGCTGCTAAGCAGAAACCCGAAGACACAGACATAACTAAAGCGTCTCCTTCCCTCAAAACAGCCCCTCCTCCAGGGAGCCTTCCTTCCTGGCATAGGAAGTGAGGAGTGAGGTTTAAGGAGTGAGTGCTGAGCTGGGAGCCTGGAGACTTGGCTCTGAGCTCTGATTCTGCAATTTATGAGCCATGCGAATTGGGCCAAGTCATTTCTATGTAGTGGAAATGATGACACTTTGCTTCCTTCCAGACTGTGGGGATCAAATGAGTGAATCACGGAGTGCTGGTGGGCAGCATTAAGGTTGACGAGGCCCCAGAGAGTTCTGAACAGAAGCCAAGGCAGGACCCAGAGCCATTTGCTCTTCCAGTGAAAGACAAGGAGGGAATGGGAATAAGCTGTGTCCCTGGATGCTCTGATACAGGGCCTGACGCTTCCTGGGGAGGCTGCCCTCTCCCTTGGGGCCTAGGGAACGTTCTTCCAAAGTTTACTGGTGGTGGCACCTCAACTTAGGAAGAAAAATACTCATCATTTGATGCCTGGCCCTTCCAGGGACACCTCATGAAGCCAGGGGACAGTCAGGTATCTGTCAGTCCCAAATCCAAAACCCTCTATGGATGTAAAACCCAAAGACACAGAAGCTTGGTATGCAGATGACTCTAGAAGTAAGGAAAAGTAAATTAGCTACATCTTAAGGTCCAGAAAGTTCTTTGAGGCAGGGTATTGTATATTTCCCAGGCACTTTCTATGTGCCAGGCACACTGCCTGGTGCTGGGCCAGCATAGCAGTTTCCTCGGGCTGCTTGTAAAGTGCCACAAATTCAGGTGCTTCAAACAACAGAAATTTATTTTCTCACAGTGCTGGAGGGTAGAAGTCCAAGATCAAGCCGTTGGCAGAGACAGACTGCCTCCTCAGGCCCTAAAGGGAGAAATCATCCCTGCTGCTTCTGCCTAGCTTCTGGGGGTAGCTGGCAGTCCTGGAAGCTCCTTACAGTTGTGTCGTTCAAGTCTCTGCCTTTATGGTCACACAGAATTCTCCCCGTGTCTAGGTGTCTGTGTCCACAGTCCCCTCTCTTCTAATAAAGACGTCAGTCGTGGGGCACCTGGGTGTCTCCATCGGTTAAGCATCTGACTCTTGATTTTGGCTCAGGTCATGATCCCCCCAGTTGTAGGATCGAGCTGGGCATCAGGTTCAGTGCCCAGCACAGAACGTGGAAACTGCTTGAGAATCTCTCTCCCTCTCTCTCTTTCTCTCCTTCCCTCTCTCTCTGCTCCTCCCCTGTGCACACTCGTGTTCTCTCTCCTCTCTCTCAAAATAACTAAATAAAACTTTAAAAACTAAGTAAGGCCTCAGCTATTAGATGAGGGACCACCTCATACAGTATGATCTCATTTTAACTTGGTTACATGTATAAAAACCCTGTTTCCCAATAAGGTCCATTCTTAGGTCCCAGGGAATAGGAATTAAACGTATCTTTTGGGGAAACATAATACTACCCACTACGATCAACAAATGGCTTTAATTTCAGCAACACAAAGATGATAAGGATTCAGTTCCTGACCTCCAGACATTCTTACTCTAACAATGGGGACACACACGCATTTCCACAAACATTTGCACACCCAGGACTCATTCCAGAGAGACTATAATAAAAGTGGAAATTATGTCATCAGGAGGGATTAACTCTAATACAGGGATTGGGAAGTCCTAAAGAGGAAAGACTATCTGGGTTGGGCCTTGAAGGTTAAGTAGAACTCAACTTCCAGAAAAGGCCATCGAGCATCCAGCTACTGGACAGAGCAGAAGATGTCAGAGCAAAAGTGGAAGGTGTTTATGGAAGACAGAGATGACTCATGTGCCTGAAGCTTCGAGTGCCTTCCAAGGCTGACAAGAAAAATGGGGGACAGATGGTGAGGTGTCCAGGAGTTACCTTTTCCTGTAGAATATGTGGAACTTGAAGAGAAAGTGAGAGTTCATGGCCTCTGAATGGGAAAGGTCATTAGGCTCTGGAAGACAGTTGTGCAGGCAGCATGACGAGGGGTCAGATTGGAAGGAGGAGGCCATTCTTTACAGTCCACAAAAGAAATGAAGGGGACTTGAGCAAGGGCAGCCGCAAAGAGGGAGAGGAGAGGTGTTGGAGAGCCAGAGCTTTGGAAAGTTGAATTGTCAGGACTGAGTTGGCTGATGGCAGGTGGTGAAGTAGGAGAAATCCAGATGACTCCCACCTCCCTAGCCTTAGGCTGGGTGAACAAAGGTGACCTGGATGAGACTGGGATGCAGGGGGAGGAGGAGACTTAGGGAGGAAGGTGACTTTAGACCACTAGGGGTTTTTCAACTTCTGCATTATTGATATTTTGGACCTGATAATTCTTTGTTGTGGGGACTGTCCATACATTGTAAGATGGTCAATAGCATCCCGGGCCTCTACTCATTAGAATTTGAGGTCCCTGAAGAAAGCCAGGAGGAGCTGTCCAACAGCTGGCTGGCTGCGGGAGTGTGGGAGCTCAGAAGACAGCTTTGCCTATGTTTCCTAGAGCAGGTGGGAGGATGGAGGGACCCCTGAGGACAGGTGGGGGAGGGAGGTGTTAGTGTTCAAGATATCTGTGCCCATGTGCTGACAACCTGAGTGTCTTGTGTCTTAAGAAGAGAGCAAATGCCTTCTTCACCTCAGTATCGCCTTAACTCTACACCCAGTGTAGCAGGTGCTCAATAAAGGATTGGAGAATCTCATTAACTTCCTTTACGAAGAAGAACAGGAAAACCCAAATAGTCTGAAAACCCTGCCTACTATAACATTGGGAGCTGGGTCGGGGAGAAGCCGGGGCAGGTGGCGGAGGCTGGAGGGGCCTCTAAGCCTCCCTTGGCCTACAGGATATGGCAAAGCCAGGATATCAAGCATCAGCAACTACCATGGTTGATGGTGAGGGTGCACGTGGTACAGACTAGCAACAATGAAGATATCATCCTTGGCGACCCAGCAATTGCACTCCTGGGGAGAGAAACTCCAGAGCAGAAACGGCAGAAGAGAGGCTTGTGAATATTCCAGGCAGCACCGTTTATAGCAGCAAAAATCTGGAAGCAACCTCAGTGTCATGAACTGGACAATGCATGAGTAAGTGATGGCATTTTGGTCATTTCACAGCACTGGAGATGAGAGACAGCTAAGTGTGTCAACAGGAGTGAATTTTACAACCCTCACCTTGCATTTCTGTCAGGTTTACACCCCATCCCCCTGCAAAATGCAAAAGTAAACAGTATCTGGTGTAGGACTTCCGAAATACGATGAAGAGCAGCGCTGTAAAGAGAACCAAGAGAATAGTAAACACAGAGTTGAGGATTGTGTTTACCTTTGTAGAGGAAGGGCCTTTGAAAGTATTTGCAATACCCTGGATCTTAACATGAGTGGTTGGCATAGTGGTGTTCATTTCATAGCTCTTCAATGTACATACATTAAAACCCCAGGCATGTGCCGGTCACTTCCTCTGGGGAGAATCCGAGAAGACAGGGCATATCACACAGGGAATTCCTGGGTCAAAGGCAGGGGTTTTCAGGACTTCCTGGCCAGCAGTGGGGGAAGGGGTCGTCTCTCGGAACTGACGTCAGGCTCTGGAATCCCCACCCTCAGCCCCTACCGACAAAGCTCCTGGGGCAGCTTCTCCTTCTCCAAAGAGGCCAGAGTGGAGATTTAGGGGGAATCCCTGGCCCCACACCAACAGGTTTGTAAGTCACACCCTGACATTTCAATTTTGTTCTCATTCATGTTTACCAGCTGAGCACCTGCTAGGCCAGATTGTGCTCCAGGAAGGCAGAAAACAAATAAATGAGGTAATCACACTCATACCCTAAAACACACATACACATACACATACACATACACATACACATACACATACACATACACATACACATACACATACACAACAAAACAAAACAAAAACAAAACAAAACAGGGCAGTGGTTTCCTGGGCCCCTGGCTTGGGGTTTTTACAAATTAATACTTTTTACATACAAATCCCCAAACGGTGTTACTGCCATTTTATTTTGCGAAGAAAGAATGTTAAAAACAACAATTGCCACTCACCATCCTCTACTCCATATGTAAAGAATATTTTAATACTAAAATAATGAAAGGAAGGCATGCGTACTTTCGGAACAAAGGAGAGACCCTTGTCACTGAGTACAGTGAGCTGTATGGAAACGCCACCACAGAGGCCCTGGCTTCCTCAGCACACAGTGGAACAGTTGAAATTTGGTCCACAAACTGCTCATCAGGAGAGCTGCATCTGGGAAGCACCAGTACGAGGGACACGCGGGCGTCCACCCCACTCCGACAGGCAAGCCACCGCCTGCTGTGTGCACACACGGCTGGCTCACCTTCAGACGAACAGCTGCGAGCGTTCCCACACACGCTCCTCCCCCAGGGGCCCCTAGACTGCGACACCCAGAGGAGGCCACACTTCTCTCTGGACCTAGAGGGTCAGGCCCACCTGGCCTGTGCTGACCAGTGACAGGGGTAGCTGTTGGGACTGAAACCAGACGGGTGCTGAGTCCTGCCAGAGGTGGGCCACCTGCTCAGGTCAGCAGGCCTCAGCCTCTGGAGGGATACCCAGCCTCTACCCACATCCAGTTTTCTCAGTAGACCAGGGGTCAGAGGAGCTGTGTTTTCATCCCAATTATGTCTGTGACCTTGAGCAAATCACTTTTCCTCTCTGGGCCTCCAGACATTGACCACAGTTCTCCATGCCCGTGCCGGTGGGTCATGGAGACCCATGCTGCTCAGCCTCAGGGGACCCACAGGCCAGTTTAGGAGTGTGCCTTGGGAGTGAGAGAATGCCCTTGTTCCTCAGCTCCAGTGAAGGGACCTCAGGCTGGCAAGCTTTGGGCAGTTGTGAGCAGAGAGTGCTGATGCGGTCATGAGAGGAGGCTGCCGTCTGCACCGGTCCCAGCAACCTGTCCCAGCAACCTATCCCAGCCTTCAGTAGCTTGGTCACCCAGCTGGAACGGAACCAGCCCCCCCTGGATGCCCAGCCCAGATCCCTGCGGGGAGTCTGACTCACTTCGTGGGGGGCCTCTGGGGCTAATGTTTAACTCAGCTCCCTCCCTCAGCAGGGCACTTTAGCCCCAGCAACCCTGGACGTTGGGCCTGCCCTGATCAACCTGCAAGAGGTGGGCTCCAGACAGACAGGGGGCCTGGCCTCCCACCCCCACGCAGATAGGGCGCTCATGGGGAGGGAGAGTCAGCCGCTGGCCTCCTGAGGGCTCTGGGGCAGGCAGGGGCGGTAACGGGAGGCATTCTGCCCTGGCCATTCCTACCAAGGAGAAAGGCGCTCCATGTCCATCTCGAGCTGCAGGGGAGATGTTTACCCAGCTTAGCCACAGGCCACCCCCAAGAAACACCCCCTCCCTCCGCCCCCAATCAGCCCTAGTGTTGGAGGAAGACCTCACTTTTGCTCATTTGGGTGGCATTTTTATCTCATTTGAATGCCTTCCCTTCTGGTAGGGATTTCGGAACTTCTCAGTGCAAACTCAGGGCTCCTGACCTCCTGCCGTGTCCCTTCCAGAAAGTGGCTGCTTGGGCTCTTTGTGGTAAGTCAGACCCCAGGAAGGCCCTACCCCAAAGGCTCTAACCCTGGTGTGCAGCTATCAAACCCTGTAACTTGGGGTGAATTATTCACCTCTCCGAGCCTCCATGTCCTCATCCACCAATCCAAGATGAGAGTTCTCTATCTATTTCTTAGCACTTTGTGAGAATGTAATGATATAATTCTGATAAAGCATGGAGCACCGTATTTATTACTGTTAAAATAGTGACTAAGCATATGGGCTCTAACAGACTGCCTGGTTGGATCCTGGCCCCTCCATCTACTAACTATGTGGCCACGAGAAGACACTAACCTCTCTCTGCCCCAGTAATAGCACCGTTCTCATAGAGCTGTTGTGAAGGCTAAGTGTGAAGGTGTGTCCAGTGTGGTGCCCAGCGCTTAGTAAATGGGCTGCACGTGGGATCTGTTTTCAGCAGGAGGCCCAGGTCCCAGCTCAGCTCCCCACCGCCTCCCGCCCCCTGTATCTGGTCCAGGTCGCACCAGCCCCTCCATGGGGAAAGGAGTGGAATCATGGCTTTCCAGCTACCATGCCTCCCACCTGGGCCCTGTTCACAGCGACAACTAAATGAGCAGCCCCCTCCCAAGGTTGCTCTCCCACCCAAAGCAGCCCTGTGAGGGAGCCCGCCTCTTCCCTCACCCATTCAGTTCCCGTGGTCTTCACTCTCTGGAAGCGTTTTGCCTCTTTGCCCTTGGTCCACCCTCACAGGAGATGGGTTCGGTCTAGCCCTGCCTGGAAGCAGGAAAAACCAAATGATGACCCCCAGGAAGCCTTTGGGCACCATGGCCCATTCCCAGAGGGCCCCCCTTGGGCGTGTTGAGTTGGCCCCAAGTGCTCTCTGCACCCAGGTGTTTGTTTTGAGTCAGACCTGGGGCTGCTCTCCTGCCTTTGCAGGGCAGGGTGGAGACCCCAGTCTGCCAGGGCCCCAGGTTAATAGTCGACTGGTGGAACTCATATTTGGCTTTGGAACTTGGGGCCAGACTCTCTCAAAGGGCTGAGAAGAGGCAAAGCAAGGAGACCATGCTCTGGACCCAGGCCAGCCGGGAGGAGCCCTCTGAGGCAGGGAAGGGTGGGTTTCTGCGGCTGCCTGGGCATGAAGCCCAACCCCATCCTCTGGGTACAGACCAGCCCCATCAGGTTCTCCAGCTTCGTGTGTGTGCATATGAGAGAGACTGGGTGTGTCCGAGCCTAAGGGTTTCTGGGTATGGTAGGAGTCGTGCTCTTTGCACACCTCTGCCTTTCTGCCTACTGAGCTGTCTGTCGCAAGAACCCTGGCCAGAGTGCTGGCTCCCCTAAACATCCCAAGGGGCTGGTCCCCCAAGGGGCTGGGCAGCCCCGGGTGCTAGAGCCTGCCCCAGGGAGTAGCTGGCACTGCACTTTGTACTCCGCTTCTGGAGTTTACGACAGATAATACACTGGGAGCAGAGGGCAGAACGGGGACTCCCAGGGCAGGAGGAGGGGGGCCGCCTCAGACAGCTCAGCCTCTCTGGGACCAGGGCTGAAATGATCAAGGGCCACTTGGCTGGCTCAGCAGTTAAGTGTCTGACTTCAGCTTGGGTCATGATCTCATGGTTTGTAAGTTCGAGCCCCACGTTGGGCTCTGTGCAGACAGCTCGTAGCCTGGACCCTCCTTCAGATTCTGTGTCTCCCCCTCTCTCTCTGCCCCTCTCATGCTCATGCTCTGTCTCTCAGTAATAAATAATAATATTATGGGTCACCTGGGTGGCTCAGTTGGTTGGGCGTCCGACTTCGGCTCAGGTCACGATCTCACGGTTCATGGGTTCGAGCCCTGCATCAGGCTCTGTGCTAACAGCTAGCTTGGAGCCTGGAGCCTGCTTCTGATTCTGTGTCTCCCTCTCTCTCTGACCCTCCCCAGCTTGCTCTTTCTCTCAAAATAAATCTAAAAAAATTTTTAAGTCAAAGGAGACAGCCACTTCATTTTAGGCTTAGTTCAGGAGTCACTATGACACTGTCCTGAAAAGCCAGGCTCTGCTCTGCCCAGAACTTTGGTCTCTGTTCCATAGGAGTCACTCTCCTCTGTATGTGGGAGGGCAGCCTCCCCCCCACCCCAGCAGGCACACAACCCTCATCAGGCTTTGGGTCCAGATATCAGTGGATATCAGTGGAATGGAGAAAGGGCCTCATCCAGAGGGCAGACTACTGGTCGGCCCACTTCGAGGCAAGCGAATATGGAAGATATGACCAGTCCAGGAGTGTGAAGAGAAACTGGGAGGAGGGTGAATGAAGGTGGAGGGAGGAGGGATTGGAAGGAAAGGAGAGCCCCAGGGACGGCGATGGGGAAGGAGCTACCTAGTGGCCAGACATAGAACTGCAGGTTGTCCCTCCTGGCTGGGCCAGGGCACTGGGCAACTCTTGTCCCGTACGTGTAGGACCACATAAGGGGCTGAAAGCACCCTGACCTCTCAGCCCAGAATACTCAGGAACATCCAGCAGCTTCCAGGGAGAGATAATGCAGGTTTCCAGAGAAAGGGGACTGTAATCTGAATACAGAGGTCCAGCCTGCTGGCTGGAGTCATTAGGTGGGGCCGGGGCTGTTCCAGAGGCTAGGGCCTGGGTAATCTGACTGTCCTGGGTGGTGATGGGCTGCTGTTTGATGTCACTGGGACTGCGCAGAAGGGGTCCCAGAGGGACCTTAGCAGGCAGCTGCCTATTCCTCAGACCTCCATTCTGACCCTGAGCTCATACCTCCAGCCCAGAATAGCCATCTCTTGAGACTCCCTGTCTTCCCTTTCTTCTGAGCACTCACAGCCAGAGCTACAGAAATTACCAGAATCCTGGTTTTTAATGGAGAAGCCGTGATGCCTGGGGGCACTCTACATGTCATAGAAGCAGTGGCGGGATGCAGCACGGGGCCAGAGGGAAGGTGTTCTCACAATCCCTTCCTCCTCAGCTTGGCTATACCGCGGCTGGCCAGGGTCTACACCCTGCGAGGGTGAGCTCTTCAGAATCTTGGGTGTCTGTTTAATCCCAGTTCCAGAGGAGGGCACTCAGGCTGGAGGGGAGAGGTGGGAGCAGGATGGGATGTTCCAGAAATGCAGGGTGGGATGCAGAGAGGCGGGTGAGCCAAGGCTGGAGGGAGGAGGGAGAAGTGGGAGGCCAGAGCGCAGTGCAGCAAGCCGGCCTGTGGGGACAAAGAGGCAGAGCCATTTTACAGATTCACCTGCAGGACATACAGTCCTGGGACTTCTTACCCCAAGCACACCCTGGGCTGAACCACCACCCAGAGGGGCTCCTCAGCTTCTCAGCCCAGGGCCCCAGCTCCCTCCCCTCTCCTTTCTGAACCCCTATCACTTCTCCCCCCCACTGTGCTCCTCCTCCACCACTGGTTAACTTTCACTTCTATGCTCTTCTTGCACATTAGCTCTCTGACACACCCTCCTGTATCTACAAACCCTTGCCCATCACTCCCTCAGAGAGCTCACAGTTCCGGAAAGCCTTCCCTGCCAGGGCTATTTAGCCGACCTCTGCCCTATTGCACATCCCCTGGGGACTCCCGGGGGTGGGGGTGGGGGGTTGGTTTATGAGGCTTCACTTTGCCGCTTTCTCCGGCAACTTCCTCAGAGAAGGGGTGGCCTTGTCTCCTCTGACTAGAACCCCCCTGGGACCAGAGGCTTTGGGGTACGTTGCCAGGAAGTATTTTTAAAAGCTTAAATGTTCAGCAAGTCAGAGCTGGAGGGCCCCCAAGGATGGTCTAACCCAGGGGCTCTCGAGATCTTGCAGGAGAACATCTACAAGGCTGGCCCACCCCAGAGTTGCCGATTCAAAGGCTCAGAGGTGGGGCCCGATCATTTGCAGGTGGTCCTGATACTGCTGGTCTGAGGGCCCCACTTGGAGAACACTGATGTGATACAGCCTCCAGTTTTATAGATGAGGGTGACAAAAAGTGCCCCACAGGAGAAATGACATGCCCAAGGCCTCGAGGCTGAGCTGACCGGAGCTGATTCTCCTCAATGCACCATACTGGCCCCAAGCCACCGGCCAGTGTCCTGGAGCCTCTATTATCTGTTAGAGTCTGGTGGGCCCAGGGAGAAGGGGGCTGGTCTCTATATACCTCTACTGTGAGGTAGGAGACTTGGCGGCATCAAACATCTTCTTCCGGCCTTCCATCCCAGACATGGCTTCCACGTTCTTCCTCCAGTCACCCACCTCCACGGGCCTCTCCTGTGGGGAGCCCACACACACATCAGAGACTTAGCAGGCCGGAGGGCAGCCGGGCCCTCCTGACATAAAAGAAACGAGGCGATCAAAAGGCAGACGCCTTGGCATGCCTGGGTGGCTCAGTCAGTTAAGCGTCTGATTCTTGATTTCGGCTCAGGTTGTGGTTTCACGGTTCATGGAATCGAGCCCCATGTGGGGCTCTGCACTGTCAGTGAGGAGTCTGCTTGGGATTCTCTTTCTCTCTCTCTCTCTGTCTGCCCCTCCCCTGCTCACACATATGCATGCATCCTCTCTCTCTCAAAATAAATAAATAAGTAAACACATTTAAATATTTAAAGGAAGGAAGGAAAGAGAGAGAGAGAGAGAGAAAGAGAAAGAAAGAAAGAAAGAAAGAAAGAAAGAAAGAAAGAAAGAAAGAAAGAGAAGAGAAAAGAAAAAGGAAAAGAGAAAAGAAAAGAAAAGAAAAGAAAAGAAAAGAAAAGAAAAGAAAAGAAAAGAAAAGAAAAGAAAAGAAAAAGAAAGTCAACCTCTTCAAAAAGAGGAAATCCTGACAGCCCTGCCCAGCTGGCGAGGTCCAAGGACACATTCAAAGATAGACATGCACCAAGCTGAGGCTCCACAGGAAGAAGGAAGCTGTGTCAGCTGGAAGTTCTGGATGATCGTGGCGGGGCGAGTTACCGCCCCAGTGAACCACAGCCCAACCTTGCCTCCAGACCTACACCTACTTCCTGGTCTGGTGCTCAAGGCCAGCTCAAGGCCGCCTCTTCTGACCTACCTCCTCATAAATTGGCTCATTTTCCATTTTATCAGCAGACTGCCTGGCCATCTCTTCTCTTTATGAACCTTCTTGGGCCAGAGACCCATGTTCCTTCTAGAGCCCGTCCATTCTGGGCACATACATTGAGCTCACTTAGCTTTGAGTGATTTGTTCCTGAATGAGTGATTGAACTCAGTTCTCTCATTTCTGTGCTCATGTGTCCTATGACCACAATGATCTGCTGTCTTTTTTCCCCAATAGTGACAGAGGGCACTGTCTCCCCGCTCACCCTAACCCTGCATTCTCCTCACACTGGATACAGTTTTTGCTTTATTGCTTGGTCTGGCTTTCTTTGTGTCCCAGTTTCCTCCTCAGACTGAGAGCCTGAGGGAAGGGAGCAAGTCTTCTTTCTCCCAAAACAGAATGGTAAGACTTCATCACTCGTCTCCTAGAGGGTTCTAGAATGTTCCAACAGGTTGCCTGGCCTCCAACAGGGGCTCCTCCCTGAGTCTATGTGGTGGAGTAACTGGTAAAGGCTGATGGGACAGGGGGTGAAAGGTTCTGAGAAAAGGGCTCCTCACCTTCTCTGTGTCTTCCTTCTTCACTGACTTCAGGTTGGCCCGCAAATCCATAGAAACCTTGTGCTTGGAGCCCAATAGGGCCCGGAGCATGGCATCAGCTGAGACCCGGACCCGACGCAGTGGTGGACGCTTGAATTTTCCGCGGAGGTCCAGCACCTTCAGCTTCAGGTCCTTAATCTGCAGGTGAGAAGAAGCCAGGGTTCACTGGAAAGAGTGCATGCATCCCCAGGGCAACCTTCCTGAGGATCTTGGACTTGAAGAGTTCCAGCCAAAACTATCCCCCAAATTCTCCAGCTTCCAGTCCAGACCGTCTGGGATACTCAGACCCACTCATCACTTTGCAAATAGCCCCAACGTGTTTGTTGACAAGTGAATGAAAGAGTAAATGGACAGATAAAGCCCATTCGCCTCTCTGTCAGGGTTGGGTGAATAGATGGGGCAGTTCCAAACTCAGCACAAGTCTGGTTTGGAAGCCCTGTTTGGGGCGGGGGGGGGGGTGCTGCCTCCTATTCCCGTGGCCCTATTTCTGCTTCTAAGGAGTCCCTCCCAGTGAGCCTTCAAAGCAGTTCATTGAGGGCACAGCCTTGGCCCAGTAGGATGGATAAACTCCACTCCAGGGTACTCTCTCTGGAGGGAATTCTGGGAACATCTGTGATGCCACAAACCATCATTCCTGATGGGGAGAAGTGGGAAGAAACAAAGTGCTTTCTCATCCCACCACGTCCCCTCCTCCCTGTCTGAACAGGTACCCAGGAGCAGCTCACTACAGCTTCAGGAGTCCTGCCTTTTTGAGTTCTGCCCTGTCACACTGGAGCAGAGTCTAGACTGAGCTAATGCTCCGACCCCCCACACCGGGGGGAGCACAGAGCACTGCAGTGGGGCCTGGAGGGGGGCAGGCAGCGACCAGACCTGGTCCCACAATCACCACTGTGTGACCTGGATCAAATTTCTCAGCCTCTCTGAACCTCAGCATCCTCCTTTGTAATGTGCAGATAATAGCACCTACTTCAGCCACAGGGGCGTAGGGAGGATCAAAGGATGAAATGCACATGAAAGCCATTCACAAAGGGAAGATGTTATTAACAAGCATATGATTGTTTGTGTGGGTGAACAAAGAGGGCAGCTCCTTTTAGACTGAGGAGCCTGTGTGACAGGTTGGGAGGAAGTTTGTGCTTTTCATCTGTGTGATTATCCTCTCTCTGCCCATCTCTAGTCCTAGGGGCTAGAGTGGAGAGATCAGAGCTCCCCAAGTGGCCACTTCCCAAACCCTGCAGAAGAAGAGGGACCTCGTCTGCGGCTGCACCATCACTGCCCCCCCTCCACCTACCCCAGACATTGGACATCGCCCCATCATGCACCCAGCCTGCCCTCCCCTCCTACAGGCTCACCTCCCTGGTGTTGTGGAGGCATTTGGCCTCAATGTCATATCTCTCCTCATCCACCACCTCCACCTTGGCATGTAGGTCTCGGCAGAGGTCCTGGAGGAAGAAAGTTTAATCAAGAAACAGAAAAGAAGGGAGAGGAGCCTTTGGGACCCCAGCCTTTCTTTTCTCCTCCAAATCCAGTGCCTTTGCAAGATTTACATTCTGGAAAGGAGCTAACCATCCCCTTTTCTCTGAGGTTCATGGTTTCTGATAGCTCAGCGTGTAAGCCCTTTGTTTTCCTTTCAGAATGTAACTGTTTTCTTTAAAAAGGTTTCTTATGATAAAAATCAGTCAATTGTAGAAAATTTGAAAACTATGTATTAAGTAAAAAGAACATAATAAACATAATGAGTGGGGCGCCTGGGTGGCTCAGTCGATTAAATGTCTGACTTCGGCTCAGGTTTGTGAGTTTGTGGGTTCAAGCCCCGTGTCGGACTCTGAACTGAGAGCTCAGAGCCTGGAGTCGGCTTCAGATTCTGTGTCTCCCTCTCTCTGCCCCTCCCCTTCTCTCTCTCTCTGTCAAAAATAAATAAACATTTAAAAATTTTTTTTTAAAAAATAACGAGTGATGCCACCAGTAGGAGATGACCGTTGGTGACATTTTGGTATATTTCCTTCCAGTCTCTTTTCTCTGTAGCCACTGGCATATAAACAATTATCAGTGTTTTACGAACATTATAAACCTATTTGCAGGGGAAGGATGGGCAGGTCTTTGGATCCAAAGATCCACCCCCCCCCAACCCACTGCACACCTTCGAGGGCCTGGCACTGGTCTGACGTGGGGCCCCAGCCCTGGCCCGGCCCCACCTGAAAAGCTGCTTTCCCCCACCTCTGAGTCTCCCTTCCTGCACTTGTGAAATGGGATCTACCAGCACCACCTCGCAGGGGCCTATGGGATGACATGAGACCTTGCAAGAGAAGAGCCACTTGTACAAGAACCGAGCGTGGAGCCAGGGTTAGCCCCTGCCAGCTGGGTCCAGCGGCCAGCCGTGCACACTCACCTGCAAGGCACTGAGGGACAGGCCGCGGGTCTGCAGCGTGGGGATGCGCTCGGCCAGGTAGCGCACCTTCTCGGCCTCCCGTTCTTCGTGCTCCTGCTCCCAGCACTCCTTGGCCTTGGCCAGCATCAGGCTCTGGACGGGACAGAGCCTCCTGAGCCAGGGGCCTGGGGCCCTTGTATTCCCTACCCAGCATCAGGGCCTGAGGGGAAGGCCGACCCCAGGCTGGACCTGCTCTTGCCTCTGGCTCTACAAGCAGCGTGTGTTCTCGTGCTGGTGAGGGCACAGCCCAGGATCCCCCGGAGTGAACAGGACAGCCACGGGGCGTGCGGTGGGTGTGCTGGCTGCAGGCAGGGCCACGTGAGAGCAAGCACCGAGCCACCGCACGCAGCATTTCTCAGACCCCGGAGCTTATTTTTCCCTCACAGTCTCCCTCTTACCCACTTCTCATCTGTTCTGGACCACAGAGCTCCCAAGAAACTCTTGCCAAAATAAAGCAAGGCCCTCTGCCTTGCTGGGTATTATCACCCTGAAGCTGGTTACTGCCTCCTCTCAGGACCCCAGGCAGGTGCCAGGACCCCATAGATTCAGGGTCCCACTCACTGACCACCAGTCCCCAGACAATGGCCGGGGCCCCCTCTGTCCTCTCATCATCTTCACTTTGGCCTCCTTTCTCTTCACTCCCCATGACCCTCCACACCCCCACAGAGTCCGCACCATAGGCCTTCTGTCTCCCACTGGATGTCCCCCCAGGGCCAGCGTGAAGCCTCACCTTCAGCAACAGTTTGCGGGAGGCAGTGATCTTGGGCTTTCTCTGAGGGTGAGAAGGGGAGAGACAGGTGGTGAGGTAGAGTCTGCAGAACTGGAAATATGGTCTAGGCCAGGATGCGTGCCAGCCAGGTTCACCAACATTACCCAGAATCCCCGCCATAGGGTCCTTTAAAAGGTCCCTCACCTTTATGACTGAACCCCTCAAATTCAGAGAATGCTGTAGTCAGCTCTCCTAACCTAGAAGCTGAAGCCCTCGCTCTCAATCCTGCTTCTAATGCTGGTGGGAGCCTCTGTGGGTCACATGACCTCTACGGGTACCTCCTTCCTCATCCGTAAATAAGGATGCCAAGACCCACCTTCCTCAGTCCAGAGAGTTATCACAGACAGAGTGACATCATGGACGTGCAAATCCTTTGAAAGGCATGAAAGAGATGCACCTGTTAGTGCTCTGCATAGTAAGGCCCCAATGCCCTGATGATCTGTTACATCAGAGAAACAAGCTGTGAATTTTGCAACTTTTTTGTTGTCAACATCATCCACATGCATCTTTCTCAGGTATAAAAACCTTGTTTTCTTATAAAAAATGCTTGATATATTCTTGCCAACTGGATATGTTCAATGGCACTCAGGGGAGGTGAAGGTCAGGGGGGCTGCATAATCCCTCACTGATGAGGCTGTGATGCCTTCTGCACACTTGGATCTCTTCTTGACCGTACGTGGTCGATGCTCATCGCTACCGGTGAGCAGCGTGGACTGTACCGTGCTGCGTGCTGCGTGATCATAGCCCTGGTTTGTTAGGCTAGTGTGTATGGTAGAAGCAAGCAGGGTTTGTTTGAGAAAATGAGGGAAGATGAATGACCTTGTATCTTGTGCATGGAATGCATGACTTCTAATCTGACGGTTGAGAGCAGTTTGTTTGTCTTTTCACCTTCTACAGCGAGGTTTGGGCTACTGTTTGGATTCGTGTGCTTGCAGAAGAAATGGCCCATTGCAATAATCACTACCACTCAAGATTTGCACACCATAATGTACTCATGGAAATGCTTTGTTGCAATATCATTCCCCCACTGCTTGGTGAACTTGTGGGTCACCTCATTGGATCATCAATCAATGGTGACTCACTTTAATATAAGCCTCAGCAAAACTTAGAAATTCATATGGCAGGGCGCCTGGGTGGCTCAGTCAGTTAAACATCTGACGCTTGATTATAGCTCAGGTTATGATCTCACCATTCAGGAGATAGAGCCCCATATCAGGTTCTGCACTTACCACGCAGAACCTGCTTGGGATTCTCTCTCTCCCTCTTTCTCTGCCCCTCCCCTGCTCCTGTTCTCTCTCTCCCCCAAAATAAATGAACCTTTAAAAAAAGAAATTCATGTGGCTATTGAAAAATGGTGTATTGAGAATCTCATTGAGAATCTCTGTGCCAAATGTCCCCTCCATCAGTGCTACTCATTCCCACCCTTGCCAGTTCAGAATCCCCAGCCGTATCCCTGCAGGTCATAACCCTGGGCTGTACACAGGCTGTGTTCTCAGTAGCATCATAATCTGGATCGTTTCAGGGCCAGAGTTATCTAAGACCTGAGGGGAATGGAAGGACACCTCTGTGCTCCTCCATCACTGCTTGGTCATTGGGCAGGGGTAGAACAGCCCAAAGATGATCTCTTGGTACTCTTCAAATATGGCTTTGCATAGGACCAGCTCTGCAAAAAAACAAGATAGCCCCCAGGGCTGGACAAGTGAGCAGAACAAGAGAGGAAGAACTTGCTCAGTGCTCAGCGAGACTGCAGAGCAAGGAATGGGTACAGAATCACACCTAGCCATGCTGTGACCCTAGCTAGTCCCCAGGAGGGCCTTCCAGTGAGATTGTGCACTGGGGCACCACCCTGGGCCCAAAGAAGTCCATGCCTGGAAACTTCACCCAAGATTTCTATTCTCTGGGGATTTTCTTAGCCACTGGCCGCCCCCTACCATGCATACTGCTTACCCCACCTTTACCAGTCTGAAGACCTAACCAGGAAAAACTTACCCCAAATCTCACTTACCTCACTTCAGGCATCCACCACAGGAAGGACAGGAGGAAAGAACAGAAGACAGAATGTGAACAGTTCATATTGCACGTGCAACGGCAAAACCATGTGGACAAGCTTGGGCGGGGGCGGTGAGGTGACAATCATACACAGGAAGGAAATCAGGCATCAGGCAGAGGGACCAGCTCAAGACTTTCGGCAAAACAGAATAAACATCCAATGGCTCTCTGGGCTACCTGAGATTCTTACGGGGAGACACTAGCCATTGTAAGCCGGGGAGGAGGGGTGGAAGTTCAGGGAAGCCTCAACACAGGGTTCCAGCAGCATGAGCACTTCTGCCCCTGGCCTGGTGGGCAAATTCCCAGTGCTTTGTTCATCTGTTGGGCCAATGCCAAATCATGGCCTGGCACACGCGATTCATCTGACCAGTGCAGAGACAAAGTCTGACACAGGCCACAGAATTCTCCCCTAAGCAATCTGGAGCATGAGTTCTGTTCAAAGGCTATGGGGAGGGGGAGGGGGATGCGTGGTAGCACTGGGAACCCAGGCACCCAGGCCTGCTCCTGCTTTATTTTTCTTTTAACTTTTTAAATGTTTATTTATTTTTGAGGGGCAGAGAGAGCGTGAGCAGGGGAGGGGCAGAGAGAGAGGGAGACACAGAATCCGAAGCAGGCTCCAGGCTCTGAGCTGTCAGTGCAGAGCCTGACACAGGGCTCAAACTCACAAACCACAAGATGTTGACCTGAGCTGAAGTTGGCCACTTAACCAACTGAGCCACCCAGGAGCCCCAGGTCTGCTCTGCTTTAGAGTCTGTTCTCCTGGGGAACTGCTTCAGGGGTCAAACAGAAGGTGCCTCAACTGTGGGGCTGAAATCTATAGCAATGGGCCTTGCTTTCCTGGAGCCTCAGTGGGGGTGGGGCTACTTACACTTCAGGCATGGTGGTGGTGGTGGTGGTGGGCGGGCAGCACCTGCAGGCACAAAGCAACCATCAATGTGGGAAATTTACAGCTTCTGCCGCCCAGCCCAGCTGGGCCTTGGGGCTGCATCAGCGGTCCCGCCTGGGAGAGTCAGATGGCAGGAAGAAGAAATCGACATAACGGACTCCAACTGGTCAGGATGGGATAAATACTTGTCCATTTATTCTTTATTTCATTTATTCACTCACTCACTCATTCACTCATTCACTCACAAGAGAGAGAAAGCTTATAAAAGCAAAGAAGCAATATCAAAACCCAAAGTGGCTCTGTTGGCCAGGTATGTAGGGCGGGGATCGGCAAATTACAGTCCACAGGCCAAATCTGGCCCCCAGCCTCTCTTTGCTTAAAGCATTGGAAAATAAAGAATATGCAACAGAAGACTATGTAACATGCAAAGCCTAAAATATTTATTATTATCAAGCCCTTTCCAGAAAAAGTTTACCAGCCCCTGTGGGGAACAGAATGGAATCCATGGAAATCTGTTTGAAGACTGAGGTCACGGGGCCCTAAACAACATGCTGGGTTGAGAGTCTGTCCTGTGGATGAGGGCAGTCATTGAAGTTCTCAGAAAGGGGAAGAACCTGGAAATGAAGTATAGAGTGAAAATGGAGTATAGGTAGCTGCCATAGGGCACAACGCCAGAGGGCGCTATTGATACTATGTGCAATGTAACTGCGGGGGGGGGGGGGTGCTATTCTCATAGACCTGTGCCCCTAGGGTAGAGCGGTGAGGGAGTCCTGCATGGAGGGGGTCAAGCCAGGAGGCAGGAGAAGAACCTGGGTTCTACTCTATTCTTTATCCTGACCCTTTCCAGGAAGATTTCCCCTCTGCAAAAATTGGAGTTAGATAAATTGTTGTGCCCTTAAAAAAGCTCTTAAAGACTTTGTTCAAACCAAATTTTACTTGGAAGTAAAACAAATGTAATCAATGTGAGCAAATGGCACAGGTTGAAGCGGGGTACATAGGAGCCCCAAGGCCTTCTTGAGGACCTCTGACTGTGGAGCACAGTGTGAACCCCCTTGACTGGGTTCCTGAGGCTCCCTGTAGTCCCAACAGTTGGGGGACCCAATCCAAGAAGGGGATCCTCGAGGCTACACGAGGGGATGCTCCAAAGCCAGACCTGACTCACCATCTTGCCTGTGACTGGACAAAGAGCATTCCAGCAGAGGGTGGGGATTGTACAGAAGATGGGGAAAGAAGGACGACTCGGCAGGGAGCAGGTGTGCAAGGCGGGACAGGAATCCCGAGCTGGGTTGTGAAGTGAGAAATGGAGGAAACCAGTGTATGTGCACCAGGGACCAGGGAGCACAGGATCAGGAGTTCGAATCTGGTCCAAGAACCTGGTTTGGTACCAGGGAGGGCCAAATCTACAGGACGCTTGTCAAGTGGCAGCCGGTAACTTTATTCCAGAGCCACCTTCTGCCTCTGCTTTAATTCCCTCCTTTCCCTTTGTGCCCATGAAGCCTCCTCCCCCACCCCACGAGTGGGACTTGGCACCTGTCCTGTACCTCCTCACCCTGTCGGAAAGCCCTCTGCCCACCCCTCCTCCTGCTCTGCCTCTGCTGTCTGGGGAGGGTGAGGCCCGGGGTGGAGGAGGGGGAAAGGGAGTGTGACCCCAGAGTCGCAGCTGTCACCCTGGGGCACAGAGGGAGAGGTAGGAGCCAATCCATAAATTCCAGAGATATTTGGCTGAAATTAGATTTTATCACCAGCTGTTTATTCCGAGGGCTCCACTCCTCTGAAGACTCCCGAGGAAGTCCAAAACGAAACACTAGCTGGTGAAGAAACACCTCCAGGTCCGTCTATCCATCATCATTGCCTTCCCATAATGCCAATCCCCAGAGGGCAGCACGTCTCAGCTGAGTAGGGATGTGGCTCACCCTTGGTGGGCATTTGGCCATGTTCACGCCTCCCTCAGACAGCCCACTATCACCAGCATGGGGCCCTACTTGCCCAGGCCAGTCCGGGCCCCCTGCCAAGCTCCAGGGCCTGCCCCCCCTCAGCTTGCCCCATTGACAAATGCCAGGCCAAGGGGTCCCCAGCCTGTGCTCTGATACCCACCAGACGGGACCCCTTGACAGGTCCTATGGAAGACAAGCAGAAACCCGATAAGCGGTCAGGATGCAGATAGCAGCAGCAAATGTGAGGCCGGAGGGCCAGCATTCCTTCATCCCCACAAGTAGCAAGCAAGGAGATAATTAGAGAATCCAGCACTGGAGGGAGGGAGCAAAAGATGGCCAGGGGTCGACTCAGAGCTGGGCTTTCCCTTCCCTGAGGCCCGTGGGGTGGAACGGGAATATCAACTAGACTATGAGGCTGAGTGTGTGAGTGTCTGTGTAAGTGTGTAAGTGATTGTGTGTGTGTCTTTAGGGACAGGACCGATCTCTTTGCACACCTGATAATCAGGGACACAAATTTCTGGTTAAGCTCATGTTCTTCCCTCTGTTCCCCATTCCCTGACCTTGGACCCCAGTTCAAGGGCATCCCAGGCCTCTTTGACCATTTGCAAGCATTGTAGTCCCACACCCCCATCTTGAGCTCTTACCGGGAAAGCTTAATCTAAGGACGGCTGTGGGACTGTCTCCCAAACCTGGCGGCTGGTGCTGCCTTCAGTCTCCACCCCACCCCAAGCCATGGCTCCCAATGTAGAAGGAGCCCTCTGATGCGTTCAGACCCTCATGCCCCAACCCCAAATGGTGTCACCATTGGCCTCCCCCCTAAAGCCCTCCCCAACCAACTACTTCTACTCCTCAGAGCCAGGAGCGGTGGACAGGGGTAGGGCCCTCCCCAAGCCGTGCTGGCTCTCTGCCCTCACCTGTTCTTGCCTTACTCTACAGCTGGGTGGGCAAAGGGAACTAAGCACATCTCTCAAAGACAAAGAGCAAAGAGGCAAGATGGTTTCCTCAGTTGGCAGAGGCTGGGGTCCCGTGTTGCAGGCTCCCCCAGAGACCCACACACCAGAGTGCCTTCTTTCTCCTCTGCTGGAGGCATTGCCCACTTTCACTAGCTCCCCCGGCTCTTCCTAAACTTCCAACTGCAGCCCCGTCTCCCCCGTTCCCTGATGCCCAATGCCGCCTCCTTCCCTAGGTGCCCTCTCCCTCCTAGGACCCACTGGGCAGCCTGGTGTGAAACATAATCCGCTAGGCTCTGCCCCAGGGGCCCCTTGAGCAACCTGGTGGGAAATTCTGCTCTTGGCTCTTAGCCTTAACGTGAGCAGGGGGGATTTTACCTCCAATAACAAATTTGGGGGCCCTTGCATCAGCCAACCCAGTCGCACAAGCAAGACGTGTCTCCTTTCGTCTCCAGGCCCTGGTGGTCTCCTGAAACTCAAGCCCCAGTTTTTGTCTCTGGGATCGACCTGGATCCAAAGTTCAGGGCTGCAGGCACTTACCTCGTGGGGTCTCTGTGAGCTGGGCTGGCCTGTGTCTTGCAGTGGACTGCAGACTGTGAGGGGCAGAGCAGAGGGGAGGCTATGAAAACTATGAGCAGCAGCAACTGGCCAGTAAAAATAGAACAGACCCGCTGCCCCTCCTCCCACCCCCTCCCACCACACACACACATCCCCCTCACGGAGCAGACACACACTGCAGCACACACATCAGGCACGCAATGAAAGATACGCACGGACAGGCTCAGGAGTGCACACAGATCCTGTGCACACAGAGGCCACCAACTGAGTAAAACCAGCAAGCACCTAGAGGCACGCAGGCCAAAGAAGGGAGAGAATGAGCAGCCAGACCAGATGAGGCACTGAGCAGCTATGAAACCATATGGCAGAACAAGGGGCTCTGGTGGTGGGTGGGGGTGGGGGAACCATGGGGCCTGAGGGATGAGCAGGGGCTGGGGGGAGGGGAAGTCTCGCTGACCTACATCTCCCACAAGCAAACGTGGAAATCAAGCCCCAGAGCCCATGCTCCAAAAGCCTAAGAGGCTAAAGGCTAGATTTGGGGACTCTTGTGCGGCTCTGGTTCATGGGCCCGAGGAGGATGCCTGGGCTTGGGTGACGTGAACAGCGCCGCAGGCAGACTCCCAGTTCCTGGGACTGAGCTGAGGGAGCAGGAGCATCAGGGTGCAACTTTATGTGCACAAAAGTCAGAGGGTACACAGATGCTCTGCACCCCTCTCCAAGTGGGTTTCCAGGAACCCAGGTTTCCCAGGTTCCAAACGGCTCCCCATATCCCATGCCCGGAACTCAGTGAGACTCACTCACCTTCTCCCCTGCCCTGCCCTCTGTCTCCAGCCACAGTCCAGGGCGCCGGTGCCACCGAGGCTGCACCTGTTTACTGAGTATTTTTAGGACAGTTGATGAACACATAATACCCACCCTATAGTCAGAGAAAGACAATGCCTGCTATGTTAATCCTGTGGCTATTATCGTCGGTCCTCTCCTCTCGTGGGCCAGGATCCCAGGCCAGGACAGGGCAAGCAGGATACTGACCCCTCTTGGAAGCCAGCGAGAGCCTCACATGCCACAGGAGGTTAGGGAGCTCTACCATGCTCCCTGTTTGGTGGGGGAGAGAGCTGGTGGACAGGGGTGTCCTAAGGAGACACACCCACAGAGCCTACAGAGGGGTAAAAGGCCCTGTCCTCTGGACATTGCCATTCTGGTGCCCAACAGATGCTGCTCTAATTCAGCTCTCGTCAAGTCAATTTGGGAAAGCACCCATGCTGGAATGCTACCAGACAGAAGGGACAGGGTCTAGAAAGTTATAGGGGTTGGGGTTTGAGATTCCGAGTGGAGGAGCTAGGATGGAAAATAAGGGCAGCCATCAGCCAAGGCGTGGCTGGAGGTCAGAGAAGTGATTTAAAGTCTGGGATGAGTCTACTGGAGTTTATTGCATTGGCTTATTATGTTTGTAACTTATACAAGAACTTTCTTACAAGAACTTAAGATGCACCCCCAAAAAATGAATTATCTGCATGGATTATTCTACTTTTCAGAAAGGAAACACAAAGAAAACAGATGGACCAATGGAAGAACAAAAGAGGTTCTTCAGGGACCATGATGAATCGTTGACTCTGGGGTGTCATCATCCTCAGTCCCTGGAGACAGAGTGGGGCCAGGATCCCCCATCCCAGGCCCCAGCATCCTTAATGCATCGACTCCATCCTTCCACGCCATGCAGTCCAGCTCTCCACCCTCAGGTCCACCCCAACTTGTCAGCTTCTCCAGGGCCTCTTTGCTGCTGTCTGTTCACAGGTGGCCTTCAAACATGGGATAGTGATGCCCTGTCATCATGGCACCTGTCCCAGTCTCCCTTTGCGTGTGGACCACTCCGGAGGTCTCAGCCTCGGGTGCCTGCCTGCAAGGCTGGTGATCTCTGGCCAGGAGGTGCCCACACTGGGCTGAGGGGCCGCTGCTGGATGGTGTAGGCCCTGGGCCCCACTCTCCGCCCCGGCCAATGTGCCCCTGCAGCCTTTCTCCTGCCCTCCTTGCTTACTGTCACTCTCATGAAAGGCCACCCCGCTCTCAGTGTAGATCTCCCCAGGGGCCAGGTCGCCCACCTCCTGTTCTGCTTGTGGAGCAGAAGCAGCTGTCCCTGGAGCTCTGAGGCCACGGCTGGCACAGACACTCACCTGGTAGGGAGGACCCTCCCCAAACACGGAGAGAGAAACAGTCCGCATGGCCCCGCAGGAGCCCCAGGCAGAGCCCCCTGTGGCAGGCTGAATGATGGCCCCCCCAAAGTTGCCCACGTACTGATGAAAAAGATGTGAATCTGTCACCTTATACGGCAAAAAGTACTTTGCACATCTGATGATATTAAAGAGCGTGAGATGGAGAATTATCCACGTGGGCCCAATCTAATCACATGGGTCCTTATTAGACTGAGGCATTAGGATCAGGGTCCATAGTAGGAAACCTGATGAAGGAAGGAAGGGCATAAAAAACAGAAGAGAAAACTTCTGCTGCTGGCTGTGAAGACAGAAGACATGACCATGAGCTGAGGAACACAGGCAGACTCTAAAAGCCGGAAAAGTCAAGGAAACATATCCTTACCTCCAAGCCTCAAGAGGGAAGCAGGCCAGCCTACACCTTCTCTGTTAGACCAGTGAGACTGATTTTGAACTTCTGCCCTCCAGAACTGTAAGATAATAAACTTATGTTATTTAGAATCACTAAGGTTGTGGCAATTTGTTATAGCCGCAATAAGAATCTGATGCACTCTGTAAGGCCTTTCAGGGCCCCAGGACTTCATGCTTCAGGCTGTGCTTGGGGGGCATGCCAGAAAAGTGGTGGGCTTGGGGGGCTCCTGTGAGAAGAACCAGCCCAGGTCCAGTGTCCCTGGGGCATGACAGCCTGGAGTGGCCCCTCATGCATTCCTGGCCAGAATCCAGCACATGAGGGCCTGGCCTTCCCAGAAGTCAACTCTGAACTTGTCCAGAAGATCGCAGGATGTCAGAGCTCGAAGACCATCCAGTGTAATCACTGTGCCCTTGAGGAAATGGAGACCCAGAGAGAAGGGGCCTCAAGGGAGTGGGCCAGGTCTCCCAATGGCCATGGTGCACTTAAAGCACATCTGTCCCCTTGAATATACCTTAGTCCTCATCCAGCCATCCTTCCTTTCATCTCTAATATGCCCCTGTCCCCACCTTAACACTAATGTTCAGTGCCCTCAAGGCACATTGGAAAGTGGTGGCCCCGCAGGTAGGTGGCGTGGGGCTACAAGCCCTGTCCTGGCCTTTATTTCCAGCCGTCTCCTGGCCGCTCCATGTGAGCTCCAGGTGAGCTGAAGAATCCAGCTGGCTGCACCCAGCGGCCCCAGCCCTAACCTGCTAGGATCTTCATCTTCTCGCTCTCTATCCTCTCCTTTGGCTTTCTGAGGTAGCATTTGCCCGCCTGTGATCCATTCTGTGGCGGGTTCGGTGTGAAATGCTCAGCCTGACCTTGTTCACATACTTCATCCAGCATAACCCCACCCCCACCCTATAGGGAGCCAGTGAACCTACCCTTGGCTCTCCCACCCCGGCCTTAACCTAACCCTGCTGCGGGCCTTCTAGGTTCTAACCCCCTGTAGGGTCCCTGAGCTACAGCGTCCTCTCCGAACCTCGGCCTCCTCATTTGGAAACTGACTTTATGGTGCACAGTGACCTGAGGGGTGAGCTGGCTTCCACGGGGACTCCCCTTCTCTGGGGCAAAGCTGATGGCCTTCCCTTAGCCTCTTTTTATTTATTTATTTTTTAATTTTCTTAAATGTTTTTAATTTATTTTTTGAGAGTCAGAGAGACAGAGACAGCGTGAGCAGGGGAGGGCAGAGAGAGAGGGAGACACAGAATCCGAAGACAGGCACCAGGCTCTGAGCTAGCGGTCAGCACAGAGCCCGATGCGGGGCTCGAACCCACAAACCCGTGAGATCATGACCTGAGCTGAAGTTGGACCCTTAACCGACTGAGCCACCCAGGCGCCTCCCTGCCCCCCCCCGCCCCCGCCCCTTAGCTTCTTTTTAAAGTTCAGGGAGAGTCTGAGGTAGCCTTGACCGGAAGCTGGACCCATGTGGTCGGTGCCCTCTCAGATCGCCCAAGACGTTCCAGTTCAATGGAAAAGAGAACAGTTGCTGGAGGAGAGGGAATGGGAACCAGGACCTGCCAGGTCCAGGGAGACAGAGGCCAATCCAAGAATAAGGGGCAGTTCGGGGTAGATGAGGTGACAGGAGAAGACCTGGAGTGGCTCCCAGCCTCTGGTCCCATTGGAGCCCCCCGTGGAGGGGCTCCCAGTGTCCCAGGGCGGGGGAGGCCACAGGGAAAGGAAGGAAGTGTCTGGCCAGAGGAGCTAAGCCTTGTAAGGTTGTGGGTTGTGGAGTCAGGGCCCCATCTCCTCGGTGGCTGGCGACACCTGTCAGCCCGACTGCCCTGGCTTTGTCTGGGAAGTTAGGAGCCCAAATTAGCAAGTGACAAGGCTCTGTGCCTCTGCCTTCCAGGCAGCCCTGCCCCCCACGCCCTCCCCCACACTTCTCAGTTCACTGAGGTGACAGCCAGACCCCTCCCTACCTCCTCCACCCACAGCATCTTAAGCCAGGGCCCTGTTTCCTGGGGCTGAGTTCTGAGAGAATGCAAGGCTGGGGGCCCCGGAGCAGAAGGAACAAAGAATCATAAAGTAATCACCCCTCAATTCAATGCCACAAATTAGCCTCACCATTAAGGCCTGTGGCATTAGAGATGTAGCCTAGTACAGAAAACCCACACACAACTCGCTAGTGTGATTTAAGCAATTCCGTCCTTCCCAGCCTCTATGTTATCATCTGTGAAATGGGATAATAGCAGCGTCTATCTCAGAAGGTGGCTGGGAGGCTTCAATGAGGTACTGGGTCTGGAGGGCTTTGCAAATGTCTGGCACAAAGCAAATGCCCCACAAATGTTAGCTGGCAGTATCTTCTCATGGAAGCCTCAAGGTAACAATCTGAGGTAGGTACTATTATTAACCCCATGTTACCCTTGAGGAAACTGGGGACTCAGAATGGTTAAGCAAAGCACCCAAGGTCCCACAGCAAGGAAGAGGCAGAGCTGAGGCCAACACCCCGGTCTCTGTGCTCCTTAACCAGGCCTACCCCTGACATCTGGAACAGAGTAAGTGGTTAATAACTTAGGAGCCATGCTTATCCTCAGCCAGCATGATGGCTTCTACCAGGAATTTGTATTGAACCAGGCTTGGGGCCCCACAAAACCCCATAGAATTCATTGCAACATTAACAACTCTAAGTGATGCTTTGATTCGCTATTCTCTATCTACCTAATTGTAAGAGATTTGGTTGTGTAGAAACAGGTGACTTTAGCCTCTATTTCTAGTGCTGAGCCTCCGCAGGGAGGAGGCCCTTCCCTCTCCTCCAGGGAGGCCTGGCGGGGGCCAGTGATGGGAGCAGCACCGATGGGCAGGCTGGACGCTGGGAGACGCCTAGCGGGGCGCCAGCACTGGGCAGAGAGGGGCTGACCCCCAGCTCAACAACAGGCGTCTCTGGCACTCTCTCCTCCACAGCTCTGCACCTACCTCACCATCTTCCCACACCTCTGACTGCCTCCCACACCCCTGCCCAAACCTAGCGTGTCCTCCCTTGAGTCACCCCAAGTCCTCCCCGGCCCATCCACTCAGTTCCCCTAACAGCGCAGTGCTGTGATGGAGGAGGGGGGACAGGCCTCCGTTCCCACCCCAGGCCTCCTGGATGTTGCCAGCTAAGCCTTCGCGCCCAAGAGCCTGGGGCCGGGCCTGTACCTGACAGATCCCTGAAAAACAGGCTGCTGCTCCAGAAATCCCATAATAAGCAGGTGGAGTTTGGGGCTGACGCTGTGGGGTTGGGAGGGGGTGTGGGGGACAGAGGCGGCGAGTGAGCTGGCAAAGCAGGGGTGGACCCCACTCTAGAAATAAATTCTTTTCCAACTGGCGTAGGAGCAGTCATCAAGGCTGGAACTGAGAGGGCAGCTCACTGTGTCTCTCTCCCAGTTCTACCTCCCCTCCCCCTGCCCACACCTCCATCCTGGCCACGTGAGTCCATTCCTGCCTCCTAGCCCACATTCGATGGGTTTCCACCTCTGCACCTCTGAGCCTGCAGTCTTCCAAAGCAGAAATGTTACTCCCTTCTGCTTTCACTCAGTTGATGGAGTCCCTGCTGGAAGCCACCTCCTCCAGGAGGCCTTCCCAGATTCCACGCATCTGTCCTGCACGAGGCTTCCTGTTAGTGCTGCTGACTTGGTTCTAGGCATTGCTTCACTTCTCTCCAAGTGTATCGTTTTCCCTTCCTGCTGAGAAAGTTGTCTGGGGATGGGGGGCAGGTGATGGGGCTCGAACTCAGCACGTTGTCAGCTGGCCTCTGCTAGCCCCTTGGATTTCAACTTTTGCAGTGCATCAGATTCCCCTGCAGGGCTCGGTAAAACACAGATTCCGGGCCCCACCCCCAGAGCTTCTGACTCAGCGGGGTCTTGGGTAAAGCCTGGAAATCTGCATTTCTAACAACTGCTCAGGTGATGCTGATACTGCTGGTTTGGAGACTGTAATTTTAAGAGCTACTATAGTTCCACCAATGAGAAAAAGCGCCCACTCTGGGCAGACACAACCTTCTGGTCAATGGCTTGACTTCAATCTGCACCACCCCTCAGCAGAGCCCTTCACACAATACACGACCAAGAATTGCCCTGACCTGCCTCCTGCCAGGCTCCAGACCCAGAGGACCCTGGAGGTCCCACACCGCCGCCATCGATTCATTCATTTATTATTTATTCATTTATTCGTGGTGGAGGGCCCCTGGGTCCCAGGCACTGGGGATACCGTAATGAGCCTCGGACCCTACCGCCGCCACCGCCTGGGCCTGGCAGAGCCAGTCTTGGGTACCTGGACACAGCTTCCTGCGTCCTGATCCTCTCTCACTGCTTTCTCTCTATTCCTTCTTCCCATGCTGCAGAAGACATTATTTTCTTCTTTGTCAGAGGGCTGAACTTAGTCCTAGAGCTAAGAGGAGACGGTGAGTCAGTGGGGACAGAATCTCAGCCCACTGTCCTTTCCTGGCGCCAAATCTGTGCCTTGTGCCAGGGCTACCCCAGCATCAACCGGGGGGTGCACAACTCTCGGCTCCCCGTGCTCGCTCGGGCACCTGCAAGCCCCTCCTCGCACCTGGGTCCCAACCTGAACCCCATGTCCTCCCCTCCTTCTGTTCTTCATGTCACAGAGACTGGCACGGCCACCAGCACTGAGCCAACCCCCAAATCCCAGGGTCACCCACTATCCTCTGCGCCCCCAATCCCACCATGAGTTGAGCACCAAGTTCTGTCCTGCTCCCTGCTCGGGGTCTCTGACATCATGGGCCACCACCTCTGTGCCGCTCTGTGGCAGCCTCTCCAGGCTCCCCGATGCTGCCTGAACCGTCTTCCTAAAATGAGGGCGCAGTTCTGTCACTTCCCCCTGTCCCCCATCAGTGGCCCCAGGATGAAATGCAAACCCCATGGTCAAGTTACACGCCATTTGGGTTCTCACTCTTCCACTCTCCCTTAGCTCCAGCCACTCGGAGCTGCTCAAAACTCCTGGAGCAGCAAAGCCCTCTCAGAAAGAATGCCTTTCTCTCCCACCCCACTCCCAGACCCACTGCACCTACCTTCCTTCAAATCTCAGCAGCACATTGACTCCTCCAGGAAGCCTACCCTGACCACCCCTGACTGCATTAGGAACCCTCCTCCAGGCTCCATGCCCCTGTGTGTCCCTCTTTCCCTGCACTAACTCACAATGTTGAAGTCACACAGTACACATATTCTGGATAAACTTGGATGTTGACACCATGTCTTATTTATTTTTGTATCCTCAGTGCCCAGCACAGTGCCTGGCACATAGTAGGTATTTGATAAATGAACACTGAATATATGATGGGACAAATGGACAACACAGAGAGAAGCCTTCTGCCCAAAGACAGTGCGGGAAATTGGGAATTTCCTCAACGCCCAGGAAAATCCTTGCTTGTTCTCTGGGGTCCTGTAATAAGGTTGGAGCGCTCATGGCTAAGGGAGCAGGGTAAGAGCTGGCTGGGAAGCCATCTTGTTCAAGTTCTTGGCACCCCAAAGTGTTCTGGACACCCTCCCCCTGGGAGAAGCGGCCACAGACACTGACCTTGGCGTAGGTGATGAGCTGCTCTCCCCTCCAACAATGTGCTCGGACATACATAGAAACAACAGCTGGACAGCTGGGCCTTTGTTGATGGTAAACTTAGCCTCTCAAAGGTCACCCTGGACTATACCCACCTCCTCACCCCATGTCCAGGCTGGGGCCAGGAACGTCAGGGGAAGAGGCGCCAACACAGACAAAGGCCCCGCCTCGAAGCCTGGTGAACACCTAGGTGGCTGCCAGCTTCGTCTTCCCCTCTCCATTCTGCTCCAAAGCCCTGTGTGCAGACTCCAGCCCTGCCCCCACACCATGACTATGTCGCAGAAATCATGGGGAGGAATCGACGGGGAAGGGCCTTCCCCATCAGAGGTTCCAGTGAAGTTCCTTTAAGACCCCAGCCAGGGGGTGCCTGGGTGGCTCAGTTGGTTAAGCATCTGACTTCAGCTCAGGTCACGATTCTGGAGTTCATGAGTTCTAGCCCTGCATCAGGCTCTGTGCTGACAGTTCAGAGCCTGGAGTGCCCTTCGAGTTCTGTGTCTCCATCTACTCATACTCTGTCTATCTCTTAAAAATAAACATTTAAAAAATACTAACAAAAGACCCCAGCCAGGATGAAATAACCTCTCCAAAACCCCAAGGCTGGGCTTCCGTGGGTGTCCCCCCATCCCCCTTTTCACACTGGGGCAGAGGTAGGAAACCAAACTGGGGGTAGCAGTGGGGATGGGGGTGAAGTTCATTCTCCCAGCCAAAGCAAGAGGTGGAGGTAATACCGGGCCCTCTAAGACCTCTCCTCTCCCGTCACTGGCTACCCTGCACTTGACCATGGCAGTGCTTCGCAAAGTGTGGTCTGCTGACTCTTGGCGGTACATCCCTTGCCTTTGTCATCTCATTGGCATTCGCACCAACAGTGCAAAGTCAACAATAGGGAAACGTGCTGATGCTGAAGCAGGAATCAGGCCGTGGCACCGAACTGTACTAGTGGCCATTGTGTTCTTCCTACATTCCCACCTTACATTCACTGCGGGGGAAGGCAATTTGACTTAAGACGAAGCAGGACAAAGTGTCGTATTCTATGAAACTGGGTAGCACGCAGTGGGTCATCAGCCGTATCCCAAAGTGGACTAGAATGCAGCACCTCTAGCTGCATTTTCTCTGGCGAGTCATTTTTTTAATGTTTATTTTTGAGAGAGAAAGAGACAGAGTGCAAGCGGGGGAGGGGCAGAGAGAAAGAGACACAGAATCCGCAGCAGGCTCTAGGCTCCGAGCTGTCAGCACAGAGCCCGCCCGATGTGGGGCTCGAACTCACAAACCGCGAGATCATGACCTGAGATGAAGTCCGACGCTTAACCCACTGAGCCCCCAGGGGCCCCCCTGGGTGATAGAACAACTAACTGAAAGCCTATGGTTAGTTGAACTTGAATTTTGGTAGATATTTTCTCAAAAATTTAAAAAAAAAAAATGGGCTTCAAAGAAAACAGCTGAGTGGATTTGTTGCCGATTATAAAATTCAAGCTTTCAGTTGAAAGTTCAAATCTTGCAAAATTTGCATCTGCCTTTGTGAACGCGAGAGCTTCCCAAATAGGCAGACATTTCTGATGAAATTGGCAGTGATATTAAAGAATGTGATTTTTAAAAATCATTGCATAGGGGCATCTGCGTGGCTCAGTAAGTTAAGTGTGTGATTTCCACTCAGGTCATGATCTCATGGTTCATGAGTTCAAGCCTCGCATCTGGCTTGCTGCTGTCAGCACAGAGCCTGCTTCGGATCCTTTGTGCCCCTCTCTCTCTGCCCCTCCCCTGCTCATGCTCTCTCTCTCTCTCTCTCTCAAAAATAAGTAAACCTTTTAAAATACAATAAAATACAAAATAAAAATCATTGTATGTGTGAAGTGTGTTAACATTTGGAAGATTTGCATAAATCAGAGTTCCAATATTTTCCCAATGCTCAACGTATAGTGCTACAAACTCATGGACATGGGTAAAAGATTCATTCAAAGTGGGACATAAGCCACTGGATTTCACTGTAACAAGCTATGAAAACTTCATGATATGGTTTCATATTCCACATGATAGCTAACCTTTAAAAAACTCCCTTTTGGTGAGTTTTAGTATCGTCCCCAAGAAGAATAGCCACAATTTGGGGGCACTTGGGTGGCTCCATCAGTTAAGCTGCCAACATCAGCTTAGGTCATGATCTCGAGGTTCATGGGTTTGACTCTGCCGTCAGAACCCACAGAAGCCGTCAGAAGCTGCTCTGTAGGTTCAGGGCTTAGAGCCTGCTTCGGATTTTCTGTCTCCCTCTCTCTCTGCCCCTCCCCTGCTCACATTCTGTCTCTCTCTCTCTCTCTCTCTCAAAAATAAATAAACGTTAAAAAAGAAGAAGAATATCCACAATTCTCTGAAAAGGTTAATAAAATACTCCTCTAACTACGTATCTGTGTCAGGGTGGGTGGATATTTTGTGTGTGCTTCAACCAAAACATTATAATAGATCAACTACAGAAGCAGATATGAGAATACAGCTATCTCCTATTGAGCCAAACATTGAAAGGATTTGTAAAGTTGTAAAATATAATGCCACTCTTTTTATTGGGCACTTTCATTTTAGAATTTTATTGTGAAACATTTTATTTAAAACAAAAAATGATAATTTATTCTACTTATATTTATTTTTGTTTATATGATTATAGCATTATATTTATTAAAATACTATACTTATGTTAAATGTAAGGTGGGCTTATTATAATTATTAAGTGGATTAATCAATATTTTTTAAATGTCTCAGTTTTAATTTCTAGGAAGGTAAATATTGACAGCTATAACCTACTTAAACAAAAATTGTTTAGGTTTCTCAATAAAGAGTGTAAAGCAATCTGGAATCCCCCAAATTTGGGAACCACTATTCTATGTTTTTAGATTATTATTGTTAGTATCCTGATTCACTTATTTTATCTATAAAATAATTTAAGAAACAAAAAGGATCTAGGGCACCTGGGTGGCTCAGTTGGTTAAGCATCTGACTTTTAGCTCAGGTCATGATCTCACAGTTCATGGGATGGAGCACTGCATTGGGCTGTGTGCTGACAGCTCAGAGCCTGGAACCTGTCTTCGGATTCTGTGTCTCCATCTTTCTCTGCCCCTCCCCTGCTCACGCTGTCTCTCTCTCTCTTTCTCTCTCAAAAATAAATAAAACATTGAAAAAAAAGAAAAAGTGGTAAATAAATAAATAAACATTTAAAAAAGAAACAAAAAGGATCAAGAATAAATGAAGTATGGCTTTTAACTTTGTCAAATGACAACCAGGGACAGGAATCAATCAATCAATTAGTTCATAATATCCAAGTTATTAAATGCGGATTGGCCCTAAGTGTCCATCAACGGACAAAACGATCAAGAAGATGTGGTTTATCTATACGATGGAATACTACATGGCAATGAGAAAGAATGAAATCTGGCCATGTGTAGCAACATGGATGGACCTTGAGGGTGTTATGCTGAGCAAAATAACTCAGGCAGAGAAGGACAGATACCATATGTTTGCACATATAGGAGGATTAGGAGGAACTTAACGGAGGACCGTGGGGGAGGAGAAGGGGGGAAATAGTTGGGG